TGCTTTGATGTTAATGATATTAACAGCACAATGAAACACCTGAGATTAAAATGAAAAAGGATATACAGTTGGACCATACCATTAACACATAACATTTTACTATTCAAATTTCATACTGTCAGAGAGAATGATGAATGTGTTTGATTACAAGATATGCTATGATCTTGTAGGATATTGATATGATATTGAAAGAAAAATTACCTGTGTAGAGTATCTTATCCCACTTCTGCTCCAAGAGTGCAGTTGTTTCAGGTATAGCCCCTTCAACAACTCTTATGGAAGAGTTGTCTAGATATTTTTCAATCAAATTTGCAAGCAGTGATGATGTTGCTGGAGCAATTTCTGATGGTTTCAGGACTACCGCATTACCAGCTGAAATGGCTCCAATGACTGGATCCATTGATAGCACTGAAGATAGGAGATAAAAACTAATTAATGGAAATGAAACGACATGGAGAAGAAGCGAAGTCAATAGATTAGATAGTGTAAGCAATCCAACTCCCCCTCCCAAAATAAAAGAATCTTGCTAATAAGTGCCTTTAAGACCCAAAAAAAACTAAAAATTACGTTGGCAGTGTATTAAAAATCGTGATGGCAGTGCATTAATAATACTTTTTAATAAAAACTTTTCATTTTTAATTTCTTAACTAGTATCCTTAGGACATTAGTTTGTATTTACAAAAAAGAATTATATGAATACTGGAAACTCATCGGATAGTTAAAAATCACGACTATCAAAAGGTTATGATGATATGGAGAAGATTGCAGAAGTATAGGCTTAGCTCTAATTTATTGAAAGCTTAAACAAGTGACTACAAACCTTTGGCCAACTTTGTACATAAAGGACAGAATTTTAATAGGCATATAAGAAAACAGATTTGGGCTATTTGAACTAGTGAAATTTGAATTTTGACAAAAAAAAGAAAGAGCTAAAGGGCTTGTATTTACAGAGCAAATACATCCCACTACTAGAGCTCCACAGTGATGATAATAATGATTCAGATGAATAAAAGCTGTTCTCCATTATAACCAAATGCAGTTTAGTTATGTGAATTGTAGGAAAAGGAACATCTTTACATACAGAAAGGAAAGTTCCATGTTGAGATGACCAACACAACTCCCAGTGGTTCTGATACAATCTCTGCTGATGATGGAAATGTTGTGATTGAAGTATTCACCTAAAAGGTGAATAAAAAATTGGTTAATTAATAAATCAATGTTGAAACTTACATTCATGTTTTTCTTGGCAATTTTACCTTTTCAGGCTTCATCCAATGTTTCAGCTCTTGAAGAGCTTCACTACATGAGGATTTTGCCTGGGAAATCTGAATTCAAAAACAAGCATATCAAATTTAAGGTGACAATCGCTGAGATTAAATGCCATCTTGACAAAAGGGAATGTAGAAAAAATCTAAATGGAAAGAGTTCTATAAATAGCTAAGGGAAGCATAGAAACAAAAACATGAAATTGAAGACCTCAGATATAAAAGCTTCGAGTTCAGGTTTAGAAAGGTCCTGATAAAGAGCTTCAGTAATTTCCTTCTCTTTCTCTTCTAGCATCCTAGCTACGGCTCCCAACTGGGAAACCCTCCATTCATAGCTCTTTGTCTTGCCTGAATCAAAGCTCTTTCTGAGCTCTCTAATAAGCAAAGTAGCCTTCTCTCCATCAAATGTTTGCTTCTCTTCCAATTCTGCCGCCACTGATACAGTTGCAGAACATCTTCACATGATAAACCATTCATATACGTGCAAGCAAACCACATCAAAGAACATATTAGTCAAGCAAATACAATTAAACAACACGATGGTCAAACAAAATGTGGAAGGAGAGAGAGGGAGTGAGGGTTTACGAGTATGAAGAGAAAACAACACAGCGTGAGTGGAAGTGAAGTTGCTTTTGAAAGCACTTTCTGGTTAAATGCCCTGCAAAGGCTTTGCTACAAACCGGGGCACTGTTACTCATTAAGAAGAAATGGAGTATAAGGCTCACCATTCACCAATTATGATGAAATTGTAGGTTTTTTTTTTTTTCAAACATATTCTTGGCAATTCTATTATATTATTTTGGGTAATTTTGCTTTCTATCAAGTTGCATTGATCATCTTTGTTTTCATATAAAAGAATAAAAACTAAATAAACAATCATTGGTTTAATGAATAAAAGGGTAAAAGTAACATAAGCTCAAAAGTTGGAAAATTGATGTACCTGGCAACAAGAAACGGCCCAAAACACAAGCTTTTCATGGTAGAACAAGAAGTGGAAAGAGCTTTCGTAGTAATTGAAGTTGCATTTACTTGCACTTGTATATGTAACATATGAACTGAAACTTGGGTGAGTTCTCAGCCATGGAAAGTAGAAAGATAATGTTGCACGCATTTAATGACTTGGTATTGATTGTGTGTCTGTTTGACAAGGACATGGCCTAACATTAAATAAACGTTTTACTTCAGCAACGAAAAAATTCTTACGTAGCAAAGTGAAATTATGTAATGGAATGGAAAGGCTGGGATTTCTGTTGTACGCGAGCCATGTTGGGTCTCTTAAATCTTGACCGTTCCATGCATGCATCTCTCCTATGTTAACAGCAACACAAACACAACATTCTTTCATTAACTGAAAATAAAAATTGACACCATGATTTCATATAAAATTTTATATATTTTATACACTTATCTGTTTATCTTTTATTTAGATACATGTCTCAATAATATATTTCAAATATATTATATATTGTCTCGCTTTAATTTTGGAAAAAAAACATTTTTCACCCAACATACAATTGTTTGTGTTCTGTGTGAGTTGAAGACAAAAGTGTAAGTGAAGTGACAATCACGACACATGACAGTGGCTTTGTTTTGTCTGCCTTTCCTACACATTAGACCCATTTCACACGAGGATCGGCTACATTTTTACATTGTTTAAATTTTGTCAAAAAGTGATTTTGATTTAAGCAAAAAAAAACATTAGCTTAAACCAATTTTACTTAAATAAAAAAAAAATTTGCTTAAACTTAAACAAAAATATGCAGGAAAAAGAAGATACTTCCCACTCTTCTGTTATTTCGACTCTCTCTCTTCTTTTCTCCTTTAAATCTAGCTATCATCTTTTTCCTTCCCTCTTACTCAGTCATTTTCTTTTCTCTTCTTTCTCATCTCTTTTTTCTTCAACCCTACTCAGTTTCCTTTCTTTTCTCTTCTCATCTAGCTCTTCTCCCCTTCTCTTCTCATCTAATCCTTTTCTCTTTCTTCTATTAATCTTTTATCCCTCTCCTTTCCCTTGTACTTATATCCTCATCTCTCTCTCAACTTTCTTTTCTCTTTTTTTTTTAAATTTGTTTAAGCAAATTTTTTTTACTTAAAAAATTAGTTTAAACTAATTTTTGTTAGCTTAAGCTAAAATCATGATATTTATTATAAGTAATATAATTTAATAAATATTTAAAAATTCATTCAGTCTCTACCTTTCACTTAAGTTTCACATCCATGAAGTATTATCGGAGAAAAGAAGATTACATGTAATGAACTTGTAATTTCACTATCTCAATTTTTATTTTACATAGTTACTATTTTTTAACATATATAGTTATGCGGTCCCCTTCCAAACTCAGCACCGATCCCAATCTTATCAGACATTAGGTTTTTTTCACACCGTTGTAAAGTTTCGGCCGGGTATTAAACAGTATCATCCATTAAATCTATACCCTTACTAATTGAGTATGTTCACTTACCTTTAGTTTTAAGTATAGACTATTGATATAGATTTATCATTATATTAGTTATAATTATAAATGTGTTAAATTTACTTTTATTCATAGATATATTTACTGAAGTCTTGATTGAATAGAAAAATATAGGTATTAAATTTTGCGTATTTTTCGAAAAAAAAACAAGAAAGATTGACTGCAAATTCTTTCATATATATGAAGGATGCGTTAACACAGTACTACTAATTTTTGTTATTATATGTAACATTTCGACCCATTTTTATATTTAAAACTTTATAATTATCAAAGAATTTATATATAATTCTTGTTATATAAAAATAGGTTATTTATCTAATTTTGATTTAATTATAAAATATAAATTTTTATTTAAATTTAATACTATTCTAACATGAATAGTGTTGCCAGAGTGTCCCGACCATTTGAGGGGGGAAGAAAAAAGCAAACAGGTACGGATTGAGTGGGAGTCTGGTGTCGGAGCATCCGGTCATCCGGTGTGGTTTGTAGAATCCACCCTTGGATTTTGGAAATATCAGTATACTATGTTAAGGATTGATGACATCAATGGTTTTTCATAACTGAGTTTCTGCTCCAGTTTTATCTGCCTTGTACTATTGTCCAAATAATTTTAATCACTGTGAAAACAGTAGTCGCTGGCGTTGACAAGAGGTGGATATGGCTTTTCTAATTCAAACTTCATAAGCAAACAACAAAACTATCGGCACAACGGAAAACATCAAGATAACGTGAAGGATAGAATTAAGAAGAGCTCACACACAGAAATTTATACTCAATGGGAAATTACATCAGTCCCTTACTAAGCTGAAATTTTTTGCCATTAACTATTATTTGATAATTCATAACATCTTCAGTTAGAACCGTACATTTTCCTTCAATCCTGGTCTATAAGATAGAAACCCACTACTTTTTTAACCATATCCTCTCAAAGATCTAAGCAGCTTACACTCATTAGGTTTCACAAAAAATACAAATCTTAAAAGAAAGAGGATGTTCCATTGAACAGGATAAATACTAAAATATTTGAGACAATCTTTGGGGATGCTTTTTTACCCTGAAACGATCAAGACAGCCTGAATGAACTTACAGAGCCCCTGGCATTGCACAAGCAAGGGCAATTACCTATCATAGATGCCTACATGAGAAAAAAATTCATAATTTGCATTCATTTTCACCATGAAACATATTTAAATCTGTAAATCGATAATATATCAATATTCAAAATAAATACACATCAAACTACACTTGACTATAGTTGCCTACCATTGGATATAGATACCTTCCAATGCTGTCAAAACTACCACTCTAATTGGTCTGTACCCTCTGATCCCTGGTACAATATCACGATGGCTGTCCCATTTGTCAGCGTCGCATTATTTACTTTACGAATGGTTTGCAATTTCTCAAGTTCGGACTTCGGATACACACACACACAGAGATCTACTTATTGCTTTGAAAACATACATACGTACGAGTGTGAAAGATCTGAAAACAACTAGCATTCAGAAATCTAGCTTGCAAACAACATAATTGTTATTTTACATTGAACAAATATGAGTATCTACAAAATACTCATTAGGCGTATCATAAAATATCTATTCAAAATCTCAAAATTCAAGATGGTAAGGAAATGAAACAAGAAGAGAGCTGGGAGGGACAAAGGACTTTTTTTACTTTGGTTCAAGAGGGACCAAGGATTTAACAGAGATCCAAAGTGCTGTACCAAGAAGGGATCATGTTGTATGGGCACCGTGGGTCCTTGAAGCCCATATTCCAAAGACAAGAAACCAGAAAACAAACAAGATTGCCCAATAACGCGCTGGTCCATACTTGATTCTGGTAAGCACAAACTGCAATAACCCAAAGCATACAAAAGAAACAATAAGATTCTGATAGGCACCAAGATTGAAATAAATAAAATGTAGTTATGAATATGCCACCAAGAGTAAGCATCGTTTGTACTTTTTCCATAGTTCCTGCCATCATAATTTTGGAAATAATTCATTCAATTATTCAAAGTCCCATGATGATCGAGAATAAATCAACTTATACAGTCAGGGTCTTCTTTAATATTACAATTATTTTTAAAAGCAGAGTCAAGTTCCAATCCAGCCAAACAATAACCAAATCTGAATAAAATTTCTTTAACAAAAGGAAGGTACACAAAGCACTTACAAAGCGGAAGAAAACCACCACTGTTAAAGCACAAACACCTCCAAGTAAGATATGAAGACCACTTCTAGCAGTTTTCTGCACAACAAATATGAGCAGTATCATGCATATGCTTCTAATTAAAATCAATACAGAAGTGGCAATACACACACACACACACACACACACAAGGAAGTGTAAGAAAAAGCAAAAAATTGCAATCAGGCTGTCTAATCATTTAACCCATCCAAAATCGTTACTCTCTTGAAGTAGCCATGATGAGACCACCACCAAATCATGTTTGAGGCCAGAAGCACCCTTAAACATACAACATTATCCTTGAACCACACAAGCCAGAAACACCCACATAAGATTTTAGCCTCTGTGTTTTTTAACAAAGCCTTTATAGCTAACTATAAGTGACATACTTTATAGTTAATCATCAATAATTGTTCTAGCATTCAAGGTAGAGGCACACTTGCCCAGTGCACCACAATAATTGTTTTAGCCCAGTTTTTATCATTAATGTTAGCATTATATTATGTTATTACATATTATAATGCTAACATTAATGATATTAGCCAAAAGAAAAAAAAATTAACATTAATGATGAATTGAAAACCAATAACAAAAAGATAATTGGTTAAAAGTATAATATATAACTTTAGTGAAAAATATTCAAAGATAATCTGATTCCAAGCTAGTTATAAAACATTACAAATAGAATTATTTAACTTAGAAATTATTTACAAATCTTTCAAATTCTCATTGAAAAATATAATAAATATATTATGCAAGTATGGGTAATTACCTAAGCCTACAGTGACTTGATGGATAAAAGACCTACTCATTGTGAGTACTTTTATAGGAACTCATTAGATTCAGGTACAATTGCCATCCCTAATCCCTAGGAAATAACTTTTGAAGAACTAGAGTAAGTAGAAATGGTTGCTAAGGTTGGCATGCCACCCTTTTCAATCTAAATCATACTCGCTAGTTACAATATAAAACAGATATCAAGATACATTCTACTAGATATCACAAGGACTGAGTGTAAATGTATGTCTTAAAGTAGCAAAAATAAAAATGAACTCACTTCATTATAAACATCAAACCATAATCTGAGCATTCAAATTTAAAATAAATAATAATTTTTCCTTTCTGTTGCCCCAAATTGTAGTTTACCTTTAATCATTTCTTGCATACATAAAGGTGATTCTAAAAGATAAATCTTAAGGGTGTGTATATATGGAGGAAAAGGTTTTGAGTAAACCTAACCCTTGTTTGGGAGTTTATTAAAATGGGAGGAAAATGAAGGATTATAATGTAACCCCCTAAAATCCAATTTGAAGGTCCAAATAAGGGGAAAAGGAAACATATTACTTAACCTCTCATTCTTTTTCCCTTCCTTCCCCTTTTATTTTCTTCTGATTCCCACCCTTCCCTTCTCCTTCCAACACCCAGATATAACATAACATTTTAAAATCTTCAAAACTGCCCATGAAAATAGAGCAAAAACTGTTGGCTAAACTATTATGGATTAGACCAGCAAGCTTTCCATCATTTCAAGGTCTCAGCTTCTGACCTATATATTAAATATTGGTCATATGACCTTTTAAGTCGTGATCTTTCCTTTTACCACATCTTAGTAGCAGAAAATGGTGCCAATAGACCCCTATAAGTGACTAGTAAACAGAATGGCAGTCTACATTTCAATGTGTCCTGTACCTATCATTCTTACCAGTTATAATCCAGTTATTGGATCTCTACTATGTATTTTTTTTTTTACTAAAAAAGAGTGGAAGAAAATTTAATAAGGCTGAAAGCAATCTCTTTTAAGTAAAATTGCTACACCAGTTAGCAATTAGTATCTGGTCTAGCAGATGACACATAGTAAAAGGTGGGCTCTATCTACAGATCATGTGGAGCAATGAATTGATAGAGAGCCCAACTAGTATATTTTCTCCATGCATGAGTAACACATTATTCCTGACTCAATCCACACATGATGCATCACTATCATAACCTCCTGAAAATATAAGCCTACAATTTTGTAAATTAGTAAGTTTAGGAAAACTAAAAATGGCTACATAAAAGTGTGCTACGGGTACATCTATGCATGTACAGGCACATTCAGGCAAAGGACATATAAGCAAGAATTTGTCACAAACATATTAGTAAATTTATGCACTTATCACCATTGATATTCAATTTTCTGTACCTTTCCAACACGAGGAGCTATAAGCCATGCAAGAGTGATAGTAAGCAACCCCGTAGCAAGCAGGATCCCAGTACCTTCCACAGCCCACCTAGTTGCAGGATTCTGTGCAGGGCCAGCAGCATCTTCAGTAACAATATTCAAAGGCTGATCAGAAACAACCTGTGAAACTGTGTCCACATTGGCATTGTTGTTATTGTTACTGATATTATGAGGACAAAACCATAATGCAATCTCAACTAGTCGTTGCCTCCGGATTGCAGCCACGGCATCGGGATCCACACCAGTATTTACATGAACATGTGCAGGACCAGGATCACCACTGGTAGTTCTTTCCCTCAATACTTCATACTCCTTCAAAGCACCAACAACCTTATTGAAGTCAGAAACTCTGATATTATTTGCTATGTGTCCACATATTTCACAAATAGTAGATCCATGGTTGACAAACCACTTGAGTGCACAAGCATAGTGTACTAAAGCAAGGTCATTTTTACAAGCACAGCCAAGCTCAACTAATTCATCTTGATGAGACAAACCAAGTTCCAAATCACTTTTACAAATGAAAATCTCCCCATCAGGACTTACAAATTCTACCATCCCAGAATTTTTTCCAATATTTCTGTTAAGAGACCTATTTTTCTGAATTCCCTTGCCATCAGACCCCACTTCCCCCTTGCTTTTACTCGTTTCTATTACTGGAGTGATGCCCAAAAATTCTAGTGCAGCATCTGCCCTTTTATCAGACTCAGCACATTGGCACACACGACAAGTTGCCAACCCTGACTCCTTCTCCAGACTAAGTCGAGCGTGAGATTCCAAGTCCCCATTCTCAACACTCAAGGAACCATCATCACTTACTTCTTCCTTTGCCATTGCTGACACATTTTCTCTGCCCATCTGATCAGTTGTCTTCAGATTCAAAGAGCTTTCAGATTATTGGACCATTCTGCTTCAATAAAATTAACTTAATTGAGCTCACAAAGCTATCTTCTGCATTGAGAATTAACATCACGAAGAGACTAAACACCAGCATTCCAACAAAAAACAACCACACACAGAAAAGATGTTTTTGCTACAATTGTAAAAGGACTCAGAGGCCTTTAGCCAAAAACCAGGCCTAGGAGCAAGTCAAAGAAGTGGGCGCATATATTCTCCAGGAAAACACAGAATTCACAATGCTGCAGATCCAGTTCTCGAATAACCTGAATCATGTGTGTGTTAATGGAATCATTCGTTGAAAATGACCAATGAATAAATAAACACACAGTGGAAGCAAGTCAAAGAAAATTGAGAAATCAAATTATTATGTGTTATTGACACTAATACATCCGAAATCATAAAGTGAATATGATGGCACAGATTAAACAAAATATGAGCATAAAATTAAAATGAAAAAGAAAATACAAAAGAGAATGTCATATAATTTGAAGTCCATTGCAACTGAGAATGGCATATCCCAACAGTCATCACCGATTTTGAATAACCAAATTTTGCCCAACGTAAAACCAAATGAGTCGGTTTCAATTTTAGAAAAATTAATTAATTAATAAAAAAGCGAAACAAGAAGAGCGATTAACAAAAAGAGTGAGAAAGGGAATGCGAAGAGTGGAAAACGAGATTGGGTCTTACTTGGGAATTGAAGACGCAGCGAAAGGATTTGAGAAATGTGTTTGTTTGTGTTATGAGACTTATCATTTACTCTTTATTACTATTACTCACTCATTCACTCACTCCATACAAATCATTCCCACTGTTTCAGTTTATTGACTCTTCGCTTCCTTTTCTCTTTTGTCTTTCCCCTGCACACATTTCACGTTTACAAAAACATTATTCTCTTTTTTTTACCATTTTCTGTCCACTCATTCCTCCCCAATTTCTATCTTTTTTCATAAATAAATTACTAGAATTGCTAATTAAATAGGTATTATTATTTTGTCTTAATAATATACTGTAAGTTTAATCTACGAAATTATCGTTTTATTATTATTTTAGTTCCTCAATATTTTGATAGTTTAAAATTACAATAAATATGACTTAAGTCAAAATATTGCTTTCATCTTCTCAAGTTTTGAATTCCTAATTAAAAGATTCAAAACAAAAAAAAAACCATAAAAAACTTGTTTATGCTTGAATATATTTAAACATAATGTAAATTAATATTTTAATAAAAAAGTAATTTTTTAAAATAAAATAGAATAGTTTAACTAAAGTATTTATTAAAGAGGGTGAAATTTTTTTTAACGAAAGATTTATTTTTGTAAATTTTTATATGGGTTAGAAAAACCATTATCTTTTAAGGTATCAATATTTGTTATACATAATGGAGTAGAGGACGAAAATTGGCCCAAAAAAAAGAAAATAAAAAATAGAGGACAAGAAAATGAGATAGAAAATTGATATGTACAATAAAATAAACATCTCTCATTTTATTACTCCTCAATCTTTGTTGTCTTATATTATCGTATTTGATTTGATTTAGAATAAGAGTAGAAGTGGTCTAGTGAATAAACTATTTATAGGATTTTATAATACAATTTTATTTTGTATTATAATAAACTAGAAATGTTGTGATGACTTTGATTCTGAATTTTACTTTAGGATTTTGAGTACGATTTTTGTGTTATTCATTATTTGTTGGCATTTTGGGCAAAACAGTGTCAAAGATAAATACTTCATACCATGTATTGATAAAGTGATTCTTTTCTTATATCTTAAGTTTTCTTGAAAAAAAAAATTAAACTCATTTATTTAAAATACTTAAAAATAACATGGCTTTCTTTATTGTTGCAATTGATTAATTTGCAACAGAGAATAGAAATTTCTTTTTTCTTACAAACAATATAAAATATTCCTACCTGAAAAGAATATATCATGCTCATGCCCTTTTCTTAAACTTGTTTTGAGTTATCAAAGCAACATAAAATCCAAGGTAGCACTTTGATTGATTCCAATCCAAGTGTTGATATCTTCAACTTGATGAACTAAGCCTTCTACCCTCACCAAAACCTTGATTCCCTCTTCTAGCATCCTTCTTTTTGCCCCATTCATGCAGCCTCAAGTGCAATTCTGCAGCAGCAATTAAGAAATGAATGGCCTGTTTTGGAGTCAAAATATTAACAACATCTTTAAGTGTTCTCAATCTTAACTCATCAGCTTTCAACAAAATCTTCTCCAAACCTTCCTCTTTTGGTACCAAAGTTGAATCAACTTTGTCCTCTATTTCCTTATTCTCATAAACCTCGCCTGAAGTTTCATTGGCTCTAATCATCTCTGAAACCACATGAGACAAGTCAACCATGGAAGCATCAGCCACTGTTTCTTGGTGCCTTGCCATCATATCAGTGATTTCCCTTTCCTCTAAGATGGTCCTCCTTTGCATCTCATCAAACTGAACAAGTTGTGCAGCTGATAAATCACCCAAATCATATGTTCTTAGACCTTGAATAAGTTCATGAAACCTGGCCTCAAATTGCATACCAGACTTGGAATATAGCAAGTGAAATGCCATGCTTGGTCTCCACCCACCAATCCAAAGAAAAGCTTCCTCGAAGGAGCTTCTCCATGTTGGTGACAACATAGCCAAAACATCATGCTTTGCACACCTTGACTTGGCCTTGTAATAGTACTCATAATGCTCAACAACCCCTCCAATCAGTGCTTGCATTTGCTCATCTGTGAGATGAGATGATTCAGCTGCTAAAAGGGTCTTCAGATGTTGGTTTTGCTCAGCCATCCAACCCTCAAAAAACTTGTGGAAGCTTTCACCCTCAGAGTTATCATCTATTTCGGTGGTGTGGCTGCTTGGAACCATTGACATAGCTCTCAAGAAGAAGAATGCACACAAACACAAACACAACCCAACCCTTCTACTAGGGAGCAATGTGTGGCGAGTCTATGGATTTTATAGGGAGAGAGAGACATGCATTTGCAAGTGGGGTATGGATATGGCGGCTTTCAGTTTCAAGGGACTATGCCATTGGATGATTGGGTAGTCACTAGTCATTTGATTCACTGCATCTCATCCCATCTCCAAAAAGTGAAAGGAAACAGTGGTCTTAACATTTATTGTGAGAATTTCAAAGTACAATTTTTCATTGCGTGTATTTTTTTTAATGTTTTATTAAAATAATATTTTAATTTTAATTAATAAATAGTATTAACAATATTTAAAGAGTAACATAATTTTTTTTCATATGATATTACTGTGTAGTCAATAATTAAAATATATTATATAATTTTAAAACTAAATATTATAAAATTTAATAATTTTAATATATTTTTTAACATATTTAAAGATACATAATCAAAATTTATATATAGAAATTTTTTATCCAAAAAATCTTAAAAATTTATTTTTAATAATATTATTAATATAATGACCTATGATAAGATGATATTTTCAGAAAAATGTATTGTATTAATATATTTTAATTAAACATCTATAAAAAAATATACATTTAAACGAAAATCTTTAAATATTATGTACATATAATAAAAGAGTTTTAATTAGATGTGTGTGCAATGCGTGTGTGGTGGGCATTTGAGGAAAGGGACATGGTATTATATGATATAATAATAGTGGGTGAGATCATGAGATTAAAAAAAAGGAAAATGGCAGAAGAAGAAGGTGTTTATTGCAGGGATGGTGTGTCTTGCTCCCCGGAGGAGAAAACAAGAAGCAACTTGTTGTTTGTAGCTTTGTATGTCTGGTGAAATCTGTGGGCTATTGTTATATACTTAAATTGTATCTCAACTGATTATATATACTGCATATTCAACTCGTTTCATTTGAGAGTTTCTTGTAAGCTAAGTCGGTCCTAAAATTTAGTATATATTGCATTCTTAAAAATATGATTGAAATATAAAAGAATATATAATGACTCGTTTTTTCAATATATTTTTCCTTCTTATAGATAATATATATTATTAATTAATTAAAAACTGTTTTAAATATAATGATAATAAAATATAATGTTTAATTATATAATAATTTATAATTAAATAATAATATTAAAAATTTAATTATTGATGAATTCTAAAAAATATTATTTTATTTTATATCTTTTCTCAAAATATCTTGAGATTTTTTAATAAAAAACTAAATAAAACATAAGTGAGTAAATGATGGCAAAATAAAGATGTATGTGCCTATCTCATGTGGTTTGCGATATGGGCCTTGTGCACCGAAAGAATTTGAAAAAGGCTGCAACATAGGATGTTGATTGGAGAATATACGCAATTTGCATCCCAACATAAGCAAATTTTATTTCAGTTTTATTAAGTCATATAAAATCCATTCTTTTATTAGAATGTACATAATTCCCTCAATTATAATAATAACAATAAAATAATACTAACATTCTTTCAAAAATAATAATCTTGATAAATTTTGCTGCGATAGGATGATGAAATAAAAGTGTGATGATATTAAGTCATACAAAATCTTATATGTAGGACAGATAGAATTATATTTAAATAGGATTAAACTTTCATTGTTAAGTATTTAAGAACCCTAACTCTTAATGATGTTCCGAAACATCATTAGATAATAACACAATAAAGTATCAACTTGATCCTTTAATTATTATGTTGCCATGATAGTTCTCTATATGTCTTTACCACCAAATAACTCTTGAAATTTGACATTTCATAACGTTAATCTTTCCAAAAAAAAAATTATTAAGTTAATCTCTTAGTAATCTCAAATATCATCTTATTATTTGTTTATCATAGACTAAAGTGAGTCTCCAAAAATAAACAGTTAGTTATTTTGTATCTTTAAATAACTAATTAAATGAAAAATTTCAAGAGACTAATGTAATGACGTTTTAAATTTATGATAATCGAGTACGGCGCTCCCTCCCGATAACATAAAATACTTTACACCGGCTTAAAGTTACTGTACCAAAAGTATGTTCAAATAATTCTCCCAATTGCTGCTTTTTCATATCTTCAATAATTTCTGATAAAGAAAAATGTTTTCTGTAAGAGTTAACTCGAGTGGAAAACCTAGTCCAAAGTAATCCGATTCCCATGATCATAGAAAGAATAAAAAACGGAAATATCTGGAGCAAGTGAACCTTCAATTATGAGGCAATGTTTTATAAATACAAAATAATAACATATTATAGATTCAATCGTGAAAAATTATATAAAAACTTACAGGATATCCAACATTTGGTTTACTAAAATCGATCTTGCTAAAAGCTAAGGAAATACAAGAAAAGCCCAGAGTTATAGTCAAAATATACATGAGTTTACATTAGCTTATAAACCCTTTCATACGTTTATTCTTTTCCATGGGCTTCATTGGTGTTCCAGCGTTACGGGGTGTATTTTAGCATCGACATTCCAGTGAAGAATGCAACAAATCTTTGACTGCAATAAAGAAGTGAGGCCTGCATGTATTGAAACAAATTACTGTCCTGAAATGTCCTGCATGAGTTCAGGTACCCAAGTATTGACCCCAAATCCGTCTGCACTTGGTCTCTCAACAAGCAGAAACCTAATCATGAGACAATTTATTACATCTTAATTGCATATAGAAGAGTTTTCCAACAAGTTCAGGTAAATCAACAAGGGCAATAATGTTAGCTGAAATTATAAAAAAAATGAAGAAAAATATATAGAATTTGATGTTCGCCACCACCCACATGACCGAAAGAGCTGGATCAGATGACGCTGCATTTCAAGATTCACATAATTTACAAGAACCTTAGCACAAGAATCTCAGAATTCCAAGCTTAATTAAAATTTCGCACAGAACTCCCAAGAACCATAATTACCCATAAAAGTCACTCAAAATATGAGAAAACTGTCAACACTCAGCACAAATAGAAGATTTCAGATTCATATCTAATGGGTATCCAATAGAAACTTCATGTCTATTACAGCTACCAACCCACCGCCATTTCCACAAACAAGAGGTGCCATAAGTCCAAAACTGCATTACCTTATATTCGTCTAGACTTCTGCTGTGCAGGGTATCCCGGCATCCCCATTTGATCTTTCCTTCTCAACTGTTCATCATAGTAAATTTGAATATCACAACATGAAAAAAGAGTATATAAAAGAGGTTAAATCCCTGCCCCCTCTCGAATGAAACACTAAACCTGTTGCTGCTGATGGGCCTGTGGAACACCTCGTTGCTTTGAAATACCCCCAGGATTCATTCCATCACCCATTGTTCCCTGAGATGTGAGATTATAAGCTGCCATTGCCTGAGGTGGCATTCGTTGCATGCCAACAACATTCATTGGCCGTGGGACAGATCTAGTTGACCCATGAGCACCAGGCATGTTGCCAGAAACTGCAGATACCTGACTCAGAAATAAGAAAAAGTTACACAACAAAAATGTGAAAGAGCATGTGTGTATATGCTTGTGCACGTGAAATTATTAACCCAAGATTTACCATACCCTAAACCCTAAACCAAGATTTACCATGAACAGGTATTTTCCAAAAACAAGGCAGCATGAACTTCAATAAGGAACAATGATATCAAATTCAAGCATGTGCACATATGTTCAGCAAGGAACCATACAATTCAATGCACAAAAGGCACTAAGCATACTATTCATAATTAGTTAAGTAACTATAGCTTTTTTACCATACTAGTAGAATCCATGGACAACTTCACCAAATTAGAGCAACTTTTGAATTTATTACTCTACTACGAATTTCATAACAGCAAGTTGTAGTTGGTATTCTAGCTATGAAAATAATATTTTTTTTCAAGTATTCGACAAAATATCTGGCATTTATGCAGTTGATAAAAGAGAAGTTTCGCCTACAAATAAACTAGTTCATTTTCAGGTATGCCATGGTTGAAGTTTCTGGTCAACACAAATTCTTCTCTAATTGGTTGAAACCTCTGGAGTTGGCATGTACAGGTACTATCTTCAGTTTTGTATTTTAATTGTGTTGGTATGATTAAATACATGTTCTTAAAAACATCCAAAGAATTAGTATTTTTACTTTGGATGTCTCGATCATGCTTTACACTTTACAGTCTATAGCATAATATCCAGTAAGCAAGAGGAAGAAAGTAATGAAATTTCATTCCACTAAAAGGGAGAACTTAAAAAACTAAACAATTAAGTCTTATCCTACTAGGTAGAGTAAGTGGATCTAGGCATTTTTTTACAAATACAACAACCAAACCTTATCTCACTAGGTGAGGTCAGTTACATGGATCACATGGATCACGTGATCCCATTAAACTCAATTAAAAACCAAATTTTCAGGAATTTGGTTAATCAAAAGATCTCTTATAATAACTTTGTCTAAGATTCTTTTAGGTCTCTCTCAACTCCTCCATACCGGCTAATTTGGCATTACTTTTATTGCACAAAGAGGCATGTCTTTCATGCTGAAAATTTACCAAAATAAATTAAAAAATGGTGAATTTAGATGCTGTAAGAATGATAAGGAAAATTATAAATAAAGAAAGTATAAACTAATGGATCTTTTCCAGCAAAATCAAAGGAACCTCTTGAGTTACTTATTTAGTAACTTATTAGCATTCTCTGTACTATACATTCTATAATTTCTTCCTTGAATGCATTAACCGAATGCCATCTTTCTTTGGATTCTTTTTCTCTTTTCCACTTCTACTTGCTAATAGTTATCCATTTGTGGAAAAGGTTTCTTGGAATGTGGCAATAAATGCCAGAATGTTAAAGATGCCAGTATAAAGAAATTTCTGAAGCCAAAAGTCTAGATGCCTCTTCTTCCTTGGAGTGATAAAACTCAAATTTCTTGGAATGTGGCAATAAATGCCAGAATGTTAAAGATGCCAGTATAAAGAAATTTCTGAAGCCAAAAGTCTAAATGCCTCTTCTTCCTTGGAGTGATAAAACTCAAATCTGAGATACAGAACTGGAATTTAAGCTTCTAGGGTTGGATTTAAGCCCAAAAGTCCCATGTGAAAGCCTTGAATGGGTGGATAGTAAGATGCAGTGTTGTTAAGACTGCGATCAAGGTTGTGCAATCTTTGAAGGGCTAACTAAGATAGCAACTGGGATCACAAGTTGGTAGGATCAAAACAAGTACGATCGCAGGATCATGGAGTTGATTCAATCTCAACTCAAGTGGGCTATTGGGTCGAATTTATTGACCTAGATTAAAAAAAAAAACATTTTTCATAAAATATTTTACCCAATTTTATGTCTTGAGGCTCCTCATTGTCATGTGACCGTTGAGTAGCCCTAGTTCTGCTATGCCATTGTCTTTTCTGTGTCAAAACCCTACTTTTGAATCTTTGATGCTGGGTTTCTCTGTTCCTTACTCCTCTCGGCTTTTGCTTCTGTTTCTGTTTTGTTGTGCCCTCCGCTGTTGCTTCTGCTCTTGAACCTGCATGCTCTGGGACTGAAACTAAGTCTGCCTTTGCTGTTTGCTTGTGCTCTCTGCCCTGGATTTACGCACCCTGTTCTCTCTATTGTGCTTAGGGTTCTTTCACTTGGCAAGTCAAATCCCATTAATAATGCTATTTGTTTTGCTTCATAGTTTTAGGCTTTTAGTGTTATGAGCCTGTACTTTTTATGAAAAAATATGTTATCACTTATGTGACTAATTACAAGTAGTATTGGAACTTAAGCTCGTGAATTTAGTCTATGCTTAGTTCAATGATGAATAAATTTGGAGGTTATTTTCCTTATCTATGTTATTTTCTATTCAAATTATATGTTTTAAATACAGTTTTCACTGTGTAAGATCTTATGATCTGTGCTACAGTCCTATGATATACCATCTTTTATCCCCCTTCTAATTCAATGTAGGATCTCAATTTTGAAAACATCGGTAAGATGTCTTCCATATCAACCTAAATAAATACCAAATGTTACAATCCCCTTCTCTTGATAATAAGCCTTATTTATATCATAGAAAATTATGCACACAACATGTTCATTTGACTCTGTTTAAATACACTATTAAGTTGGATGAAAAGGAGAAAATACAATGAAATGTGCTAAATTGGGTGAAATGTGCAATTAAAGTAATAATTGAGCAATTGTTTTTATCCACAAATTTATGAAATATTTTTTTTGGTAGAAAATTGAGAGCTTCTAATAAATTTTTATTTTACAATTCATAAGTCCTAAAAATTTAAATCATTTAAATAGAAATGATTATATAACAAGCTCAATTTTTTTACTTGAAAATTTAAAATTTTACGACCATAATTTGAAAATAAACTTCTCAAGATGAGCTTGATTGTGTTCCACAACTGCAAGGATGTTTTCCTGTTCTTAGTGGTTGAATCCTTTGTTGTTCCACTCCCTATTGTATCTTGTATTCAACCACCTCATCTTTCCTCACCACATCTTTCTATTTGTTATTGTTGTAGTGGTAAGGGTTGAAAATTACTACCAGTGTTTTCATAGGTGACAAGCATCATGGTCTAAAAATTTGAGAAATAGCAGTAATAATACGAAAGGAATATTGAGGCACATATGTTGTGAAGCTTTAAACCTTGTGCTCTGGGCATAGATGATGTAAAACATTGAGGTTGAGTTTGGGGCTGAAACATGTGAACTAAAAAGGATTGAGGATATCCTTGACTAGTTTGCACGCACTATAAAATGGTGAGTGGATGCATATTCTGATGGTACAATAAGATCATTTTGCTATTTAGTTTTTTTAATGAAATATCAATTTATTATATTCACATTAGCTATTGTACATATCATTACAATTAGTTTTCTTGTATTCCTTTTGTACACTCAATTTGGAGTTATACTACCTCTCCCACCATTGCCAAAAATTCATTGCAAACACACCACACATTAATTGACCATGTAATGTAATGATATGCCTTTTCATCATACCTAGAAGAAGTTATTCCTACTTAACATTTTAAAATGTTTGCTAACAAACCATAGGGATATCCCCAAGCCTTTTCAGTTTGCAAGTCTTAGCTACAAACTCAAGCTTTTCATCATATATGCTAAGAACACAACATCAAAACTCTATGACTTACTTGCTTCAGCATTCATTCCACAATGTTGCTTCTTAGTTCTTAATTTTTCAAATCACCACCTTCAATGTTCACCACTAGTCCAAACACTCCAGTTTCAACTTTCATTCACAAAGCCAAAATATGCTTTCACAGGGCAGTGAAAAGAATGATAGTGATAATGAAGAACCACTTGAAAGCTAATAAAAATGATAAAGAACCTCCACCACTACCACAACATAAAAATATGGGGAGGAGGTAAGGACAAGAGGTTGTCAAACACAAGAAGCAATGAAACAACAAAATATTCAATCACCACATACAAGACAGGTTGTAGAACATAATCAAGCTCATCATTAAATTCATCAAACTTAATTTTTAATTCAAATTTTAATATTTAAAATTTTCCAATAAATTTGAGCTGGTTAAATAACTTCTTCCATGACATGGATCAATAAGAATGTTAACGCTTTTGTTGCCTAGAATCAACATGTTGTATGACTTAAGTAGCATCAAATGAGTAAGAGCTCCAGTATCACTGCTCAAATGTGGTGATAAAAAAGCAAGGATTCTCACATTTTCATGAACATGTGCTAGGATTTGTTTTGGAACACAAAATGTAGGCACTCAAATAGGACACTCAAAGGAATCAGAAGACACCACAATTAGGAGAGGATCAACTTCAAGTACCTCCAAGATTAAGAGCGGTAGGAGTAGGAGAAACAAAGGAATTAAAAATGGATAGGATAGTAGTAGATAAGTATTGGAAGAGTGCCGTTATGGATGTTAAAAGGTTAGGAGATAACTCAAAAGTTTGTTGTGAAAGGGAAGATTTTTCATGTCATTAGTTCTTGTGCAGTCCAATAGGGTATGAAAAGCACAGCAATTTATAATTTTTGGAGGATTTAGAAGCTTTAGTACAAGGAACACTAATGAGTGAAAAGATTTTCCAAGAAAGGGATGTAAAGGGTCATGCAGGGACCTAGAGGATATGAGGGTTCACATGGGGGTTATTGCTTAGGAGAAGCAAATAAAAGGAGTAAGTCTATCCTTAATTAATTTAGTTTATAATTTCACAATAGCCAATACTTATTCTAGGAAGAGAGAAGTGCATCTTATCACCTACAAAAGTAGTGTGGCTTGTTCTCAAATTGATTTTTTTATGAGGAAGTGGAATTTAAAATTTTGCATGGACTGCAAAATAATGCCTGGAGATAGTTTGACTGCCTAGCACAGTCTTGGTCGTGAATATATGAGTTGGAATGAGAGTAAGTAGGAAAAGCCAAAATAGGATTTAAAGGATCGAGTGGTGGCCATTGAAAGGAGAAAAACAAAGGAATTTTCATCACAAAGTTATGGAAGAAGGGTTTTAATTTGAGAACCACAAGGAAGTGCAAATGTTATGCTGGCTAAAAGAGCAAGAGATTAAGAAAATAGCAAAACAAGTGCTCAAGGAATCAAGAAGTTAGGGACCTAAGGATAAAGAATCTTGGCAGTGAAATGCAAGCGTGCAAGATAGTGTTAAGATTGATCCTTATGTAAGAATGTTGAAAATTGGCAAAATATGCGGAGCAATGAAAGATATCACAAAGATTGTGAGCCAAGAATTAAATCTTTTGATAGATTATGCCAAACCGTAGGCACTAGAAATGGAGTGGGAGGTACCTACTAGCTCGCTAAAAATATGAAAAGAAATCTAAGAGACTTAGATCAAGTGAAGTGCATTAAAGACAAGAAGAATACTCGCAATACACTCTTCACTATTGACTAAAATTTATTAAAACTAAAAATATTAATTTAAAAGTGAGAAATAGTGAGATTCCCATGATTTTTATAGTTTTCAATAAATTTTAGCCAATATTTTAGAGATGTTACTAAGAGTGTGCTACTAACATTACTCTTAAGGACAAATATAGTAAAGTCTTGATTATATAACAAGAAATTAGAGAAAGATTGAAAATTTACTTTTACAAATTATTTGATAAAGAACACGAATTTCTACCTTTGAGTAGGCTTAACACCCCTAATAAGGACCAAAATTGTATCTTCTATTATAGAATTTGGGAACCTAAGGTTAAAGAACCATTGAGCAATTGAAATGGATAATATATCCATTGAATTATCAAAAGGTCTAGGAGAGAAAGGTATTATGAGTGAAGGAGGAAGGAATACTCTAATATCTACTAATAAGAACAAGAGAGGTATGCAAAATTGTGCCCATTAGAGGGGGATAGCCTCATGAGTCATCGTATGAAATTATTAGAACAGGTTTCTGAGAGAAGATTAAAAGACTCAGCATGGAAAATCTAATCGGATTTATGCTTGGGACAAACCAAAGCAGCAATATACTTGTGACATTTAATGGAGAGATTTTTGTTATGACTATAATAGGGCATATACAACTTACATAACTCCGGGTTTAAGTATTTAAATTTAAAAATAACATATTATAATCTACGCAAGTTGTATTCCGTGGTATGACTCATGATATAATAAAAAATTAAGTTGTCCTTTTTCATGTGTATTACTTATGTAATTTAAATTAAAGAAATTTAAAATCTTTTTTACTGTGTAAAACTTGTATAAAATATATCTCATTGATCCGATGATTGCCATTACAAAATCTATAGATGATATGAACAACTTGTTCTAATTTAGTAATAAATTCAAAAGTTCACTTGTTTGATAAAATTGAACACTGACTGTATTAGTATTGAAAAGAGTCAACTATGTCTATCAAGACATAGCAAAATGATTGAAAATGTTCATAAACATCATAGCACAATGTAATTAAACTTTACTAATGTCAATTATCACCTACATTTTCTCCATGCAGTCCCACTATCTGAAAGAAATATAAAACTAGCAAGTTAATGCATGGATATTTTTAAATTTAATAAAATTTAAAAATATAAGTAATAAAAAATACGAGAAAAAATAATTGTTAAATAGCATAAAAATCATGTATCTTAAGGAAGAATAAAGTATAATTGATGAGTTTATTGTAAATAACAAGAATTCTACTTTATTAGATAAATAACAAATATTAGTTTTTAAATTAAGCAAAGATTTATGATAAATAATATCTCAAATAATTTGAATTTTCATTGAGTTCAATAATATCATGTGATCCATGTAGGTAATAGGACAAAGCTTAATTGTTTTTGGAAGTGAAATTTATGAAAATTAAATTTTTGAATCAAAACACATCATCTTTGTGCCAATTAATTTGATACAATGTGTAAACTTCAATATTAAAAAACAATTCAAGTTGGTATTAACTAAAATTAAGCAATAATATCTATGAATATAAAATCCCCAATAAAAAATGTGAGATGCTTAATGTAAGAGAAACCATGTATGCTCATGAAGAAAGATAGCTCCTAAAAATTCTGATATTCAAGAGTGAGTTCAGTCTATTACTCTATTCTCTTTTTGTATGTCAGAGTTATATCAACAAAGGGTCATTATTCTTTTTGCAATCAACTTTTTATTTGGAGACAAAAAGATAAGCAGAAGCAAGGTAAAATTCTTGGGAAGATTACAGGAAGGTTTCTATAAGAGTGAACAGGGACAGTTGAAGTTCAAAATAAAAAATTATTGTTAACATTCCACAGCTGGAGCTTCATGCATTCATCATTCAAATTTTCTATGTAATATATCTTCCAGGACTACCACAAATTTTATCTAATATTCATTGCTCCTGGTAAATTGTAATTTATAAGACTTAGATAAAAAGATGGTTTAAGGGCAAAATTGAATCATATCCTTCACTATTCTGATATGCCTTGCTCTACAAAAATTTGAAATCTATAATGAGACTTAGCACGAATGACATGGGTCAATGATTCATCAAGTTTACAAAATAGCAAAATTTAGAACACAGTATCAACAAGTTTTCAATCATCTTTGCTCACCGGTTGTGAAGGTGGCAGATTGGTTGTCCCTTCAAGATCAGTTGAGGTGTCCACTGGACGAGTGGGATAATTCACAATTTTCTCTCCAAGTTGACAGGGTACAAGTGCACTGAGCATATTTTACAGATGTTCAGTTAAAGAAAATGAACATTGGTGGAATGCATGCTTCATGAGGACTGCTTTTTTCTATAGTATACAGAGACAACCAGATGAACATTTTTGTTTATAAATCTTCCAAATAAAATTTTAAATAAATAAAAAGTGACCAATAATGTTGGGAACAAGTTCTAGCCATTGAACTTAGTTAAAAAGACCAACCCAAAATAACAAAAAAATGAGGAAAAAGAATTGGCCTTACTTTCGTCCAGGTAATGGTTCAATCTTGAAATACCTGGCAAACAAAGCATAGGGACGCTTATCAGATAACAGCTGAACCACAAAAAGGTATCTAAAATAACCAAAAGTTGCAATGCACAGTCCCTAACCTTATTAAAAGAAGAAGATGGCAACCTCATCATTTTGAGTACACCGTAGGCCATATCAAGAAACAGAACATACAAGAGGAAAAAATGAGAGAGAGAATTAACTGAAGATTTATGTAAACATAAAAGAAACATGAACTTCAGAAATGCAAAATCATACTTTTCTTGGTTAGGTACACATAATACACACAGGAAAAACAACTAGAAGAAAAGGAGTCATACTCGTGCTCCAAAGCTTGTGCTGCTGTTATACGCTTACGGGGATCATATCTGCATATAAATACACAATCCATTTTAAATTAAATATAAAAAATTAATGTTGCCTCATCCTAAAGCTTAAATTTTTGGAACAGATAGTGCATGACAAAGTACTGAGGCATCTATGACCTAGTGGTCTAGAGTTCAAACCTTGTTGCCTCCATTCCCATAAATAAAAAAGTTGAAACCACACACAAGGTAGGTAGGTTGTGCATTATCCTTTCAAATCTGAAGGACTCATGTAAAGGGGAGTGTTAAATAGAAAAACACTAGTGCCTTCACTCTAAAATTTAAAGTCACGTCTTTCAGATGACACAAAAGCAGGTAGGGATAAATTGAGGCTCAAACTGAATAACGTGATACGACTATATAAGCAACAAGAAGTTAAGAACAGGGATAATAGGTGATGATGATATAGTTAAAAGTAATAAAATATCAAGCCCATTCTTTACATATCAAAACCTGGACAAGAAAAAAATGCTTTATGTCACAACAAACAACAAGTATATTAAAGTGATCTTACTCCACTTTGTGTTCAGTTTTGCATTTTTAAATGGAAAATGAAAAGCAGCTTTTTTTATATTCTAAAAAATTGAGAAGGAAAAACTTACTCAAGCATCTTTGACAAGAGGTCATACGCAGGACTTTTCGGAGATAGGTGTACAACATTAGAGAGGCTGGTGTTGTCACTTTATAAACAAAATAGAAAAGAAAAAATGAAAATAAATTAATGTTCATTATAGGGAAAAATTCAATTTAATCTTAAAGGAGGAAAAGGCAAGTAAAGGAGGAGTATATACTAAAGGAAAAGGTCATTCCTACATATAATTGTATATTACATTAGTAATGATAATTGACAGCGTCACTAAAATAATATTAAAAGATCTTACTATTTGTGTCCTTGTATATGTTGCAGATCTTGTTGCCAATGTGGAAGACTTGCTAATGAAGGCCACTTTTCTAATGTGGGATGGCCTGGCACAGTAACAATGTCCTGTGATATAGCTCTAGAATATTCATCAACAGAAGGAATGTCCACCAGCAGGGGGAACAAAACAGTAGGCAGATAAATTACCTAAAACCTTAAATATCTTGTCAAGTTGATCAAGCTGCACAAGGGAGAATAACAATTATACAAAAACAAAAGGACAAACAAGTTAACAGTAAAATAAAAACCACATCAACCAAAAGAAAATGAAATCAATAGCAACAGTATTCAACTACATCAGAAAGGTATAAGTTATTGAAGCGTACCTGAAAAGGGTTTGATGTAGCTTTAACTTCTGCCCCTTGAAATAGTGGCTTCAAGGTCAACAACTCAGCAAAAATGCATCCCACAGCCCACATATCTAAATGTATATTTAAGGAAAAATGACTGGGCCACTTTGAATATGAGTCTACGACACATTCAGCTATTATACACTATTGATAAGTGTAAGTATGGATTACAAGTACCACAGTGGAAAGATTGCCCCAACATCCTAATGGATAAGTTAAAATTTTAAATTCTATGTCAATCTTTCATGTGGACATTCAATACTTTGACATTTCCAAATCAGTGAAATCACAAATCATTCAAGCAAGCATCTCAAGTCAAAATAGGGATAACAACAGAACCAAGAAACATGTAACTCTGAAGCTAACTATGTCACAGAACATAAGGGCAATCCCTTGACTGTAAAATATGAAAGTCACTTTAACTATCCAACACACAAAGAAAGTAAAACTACAATAAAGGGATACCAACAGCACTGGTATAATGCTTTGCTCCAAGAAGCAACTCAGGTGCACGATACCAAATGGTTACAACAACCTGCATGTTTGTATCTCAAATATTCAGGAAACTAAACAATCAAACAGATGTTAACAGATAATACAAGCTTAAGCAACCCATGTGTGAGGAATCATAACACTAGAGAATGCTAGCAGACTAGGTAGTTCAAGAAGGTAAACTTGAAAGTTGAAACCAACATATCTGTCATTCTGGAAAATAAAAAAGCTTGAAATGCTAGAAAAATAAAAAATAATATATGAAATATATTAAACTAGGCCTCAAACATAAATTGCCCAGGGCCCCAAAATTTCTAGTCACGGGCCTATATAGCCATACCCCATTTTCAGATAATGGCTTCAAAGGGGCTTGATATATCCTTGCAAGTCCAAAGTCAGCAATTTTAACAACTCCATGTTCCTCTCCTTCACCCATAACCTAGTCAAATAGAATTCACAAAAGGAAAAAAGCATCAAAATGAGAAATAAAGTTCAAAATAAAAAATACAAATGGCCATATACAGCAGTAAAAAAACCAGTCGGTGTAAAATGATGAGGCAGCCGAAATCATACCAATATATTCGATGGCTTTAAATCTCGATGTATCATCCAATTACTGCATAAGAAAAAAAAAACAAAACATAAGTCCATTTACATTAAAAAAAAATTACGGTCAATTCTTTTTTTATAACAGAATTATCACCTGTGCAGATAGCTTAGTCCATTGAGCAACTGCCAGAGCAAAGATTTAACAGTATATTGATTAATGGAATGGTTGAGTTTGTCCCTATGATGCCTAATAATTTCCTGCAAGCCATTGAAAAGCGCAATTTATTTGACACTGAAACAGAAAGGTAAAATGCGTTGCGGAGAGAACGATATACGGACATAAAGATCGTGCTCGGCGTAATCAAAGGCGAGGTAGAGCGACATGTCGGCGTGGTTGATGTGAACATTGACGAGCTTGACGACGTTCTCGTGCGTTATCTCTCTGAGCAGCTACAACATGAAGAGAGAACGAAAGAGTTGACGGAATTGAAAAATGGCAATGGAAAGGGAATGGAAAGGAGTGGAAAAGGAAACCATGATTTCACGGATTGCGGTGGGAGAGACACCATCGCCGTCTTTGGATTGCTTGAATTTCTTGATGGCGATGGATTTGGAGGGAGAAGGAGACTTGGTTCTGGCGAGGAAGACGAGACCGTAAGTTCCTTCGCCAATCTTCCCCAACAGATCGTACTGTTGAAGCCACTCTGCTTTGTTCCAGCGGTTCCCACTTCCACCGTCTCCCATCCTTCTTCTTTCTTCCTTCCCTCTGTTCGATCACACACTTCCCACGGGATACTCGAGTCCAGTTCCCAAATGAAAACTTTTATATCCGAAGTGAGAGAATCGAAGTAACCATGCCCTTTTAATAACAATTAATTAATTCTTAGCATTTATAAAAATTAATTATGACCAGATTAGGTAAACATGTCAGAGAAAATTAATGTAACATGAAAAATAAATAACTTTTTTTATAAATAAACAATCTTTCTTTATAACTTATATTTTTATTTTTAAAATTTAAATAAATAAATTATTTTTAAAGTAAAAGATACATTTTTTATACTGTTTATTTGTTTTATAAATATTTTTTTAAAAATCCATTTGAATTAAATCTTATATAATCATTATAAATTTTAAAAATATATTAACATGTTAATTAAAATTTAAGTAAATGATTTTTTTTAAATTATAAGACAAATTATATTTACTTTTTATAGTATTTTTTTATAAATATTTTTTAAAAAATGAATCTAAATTTTAAAAAATTGTTAAATATTAATATTTTATTAATAATAAATTCATAGTTTAAATACTCAAACACCTTATAACTTTAAAAATAATTAATAATACATATCAAAAATCTTTAATTTAATTCACATAAACAATCGATCTTTTCAAATGTAAAATGTGTTACTGTAAATTAATATTGAGTAGATTAAATATTTCAATAACATTTAACATACTGTTATAAAAAAATATTATTCTGCTAAAACCAAATTATCTATATTATGGCAAATTATATTATTATAACTCTCTTTTATTTTTTTTACATTAAATTTTATAGATGCTCACTAATGTTTTGTATAAATTTTTAAATTAACATAAAATTATTCAAACACTGTATTTAAATTAAATATTATATGATCCTAATAAGTTTATAAAACGTATTAACTTGTTAGTTGAAAAATAATAAGAATAAAGATTTTCTTTAAACTATTTTTCACTTTAGAGTAGAAAGTATGATGGATATTATATATTTATATTAAAATTAATAAAATTATAAATTTTTAATGTATTTCTAAAATATATAAAATAATAAATAATTAAATTTAATAACTCATTGATTAAATGAATACATATAATTATTTATATAAATAAAAAATTATTAATATATATATATATATATATTACAATCAATAATGATAAAGAGATAATTTAATAATTAATGTGTTTAAAAATAATTTTTATAATTAAAAAACTAACAATAATAGTTATGTTTTATAAGAGAAAGAAAATAATAATTTACCATGCATAAATAATTGCTTGACATTTGTTATTTTAAGTAATTAAAAATGTTTTATGGAATATATTTTATATTTTATATTTGAAATTTTTTAAGGTACTCGATAATTGCATGTAATAATGAAATCAATTTATTGATAAGGGTAAACGTACATTTGAAAAACTGACTTTCCAATATCTTGTCAATATACATTCTTTCACAAACGAAAAAAAGTAAAAATAAATAAATGAAATATATATATAAAGCATTTTAAGTGAGAAAAATTTGTAACTATAAAAAGTGAGAAATATTAATAATAAATATATATTTTTCTCTCTTGCTAATTATTTTATTCAATAGCTATTATTAATGTCTCTCACTTAAAATATCTTTTATATATATATATATATATATATATATATTACAAGGTAAATTTATTATCTATATATAAACAAATTAAATATAAAATTACAACTATGAGTTGAGTAGAGTAAAAATATAAAATTATTTGTTTTCATACACAAATTCAGAAAATATAATGTTTTATTAAAATAAAAAAAATTCAAATACATGTGTCAAATGAGGATAATTTTACACAAAGAAAATGTGGGCCAAGAACTAAAAATTATTAAAATAGAATAATGCTCCACAAATGAACTAATATCCAACAATATTAATGCACATGTTTATATGTCAACATATAATGCATATCACACTAATTATACGTATATAATGTAACAAGTTAGAGAGTTTATTAAGTCAATTGAAAATACAATAATATAACTTGGAGTTTATTACTAATGTTGCAAAGATATTAATAGAGAAATTAACAAATAATAACATTCTAGCAAAATTATTAATTATAAAAAATATGCTGTAAATTATAAAATAAATTTTTATGAAAAAATTATACGTTTATTTTATAAGTAGTTTTTTTTTATACTTTTTGGTTACAAAATTTTTAATTGGTAAGTGAAATTTATTAATTAGTTTGTATTTTTTTTTATTTGATAAGATTCAAATGATAGTGAGATTATTGTTGTAATAATTTTTTATTTTATATTTTTTTAGTTAAAAAATACGTTAATGTCCTTTTATCTTTGAGATATTAAAGAGTCATAACAATTATCAATTTAAAAAAAAGTATAAAATACCTTTTCAAGGATACCCACAACAAGTAATTTTTTGTATAAAATATTAAAATACTTGTAAATGGTAATGGTATAATAAAAAATATTAAATTTATTAAACTCTAAAATAACACATAAAAAGAAACAATAATTTTCTAAAGGAGTGATATAAAAAAAAAGTGTTTAGTATAATATCTATAAACTTAAGAAATTATTATATAGTTTTTTTAAATTAACGATTGTGATTTCTTTAATATCTTAAAAGATAAAATAGTACTAACATCTTTTTTAACTAAACCATTACTCTATTATTTATTAATATAAAATTAAAAATTAGAATTGTTCCACGTATAAAAAAAGATATCAAAATTTCTTAGTTACTTAAAGTACTACCGAAAATTTTATTTCTATATATTTATTATAAGATAGAAAATTAATTATTACAAAAGAAAAAATAATAATAAAACCAAATCACAAATTTTTTTCTAATTTTTTTATATTATTCATAAAATTAATTTATTTATAGTATCTAAAATTTACGAGTAAGATTATCACCGAAAAATTAATTAATTTGAAAAGAGAAATGTAAACTTAAAAACTAGATAAGAATTTTTATACGAGGTAAGATATTAATTTTTTTAAGTTAAGTAAAATAATCTTAAGTGATAGATAAAAATGAATGGAAAGAATTTCAATTAATGTGATATTAAAATAATAAAAATTGTGCTAAAAATAACATTATTATTATTGTTATTATTATTATTATTATTATTATTTAATTTATGCAACTGATCATATTAAACATGACAGAAGAAATCATTATTGTAATTTCACCAACCTAATATCAATGTGTCATTAAATTAATGTTTTAAGAATATTAAATACTAGCAATGGATTATTCATTTCAGTATTAGTGTGTTACCACAAATCAAGATTTAAAAACATTTTAAATCCTACCCAATACTTATAAAAGAACTCGGTTAATTAGGGGTAAAATTTATGGACGGGTTGTTGTATAAATAGATTCTAAAGTAGTAATATTTGGTTATAATAAATTGTTTAGTTAAATTTAGAAAAATCTTAGAATAGAAAAATAAAACATTTCTTATACTTTTTTCTATAACGTGTGCGGAATAAAATGTAAATATTCATTTTATGTAAAAATGTAAAATATTTCATATAGACATTAATTACAACAAATATTCTTAGAATGTAAATGATTTTTCGTAAGAGTCCAAACGTAAAGTTTTAATACACATTAGAAATGAAAACGGAAAAACGGAGTTAAGTGTGTTGTAATGTAGCGACACTTGAAGAGAGTAGAAAGCGTGGAAGCAGAATAGCCCTATAGGTATTATTAGGTAGCGAACAAGGCTAACCTCATTTCTTCTACATTCTCTTCCGTTTGTTTCCCTCACGCTTGTTCTTGGCCAATCATAAGTCAATTCAGTGACTCAATTTGAATTTGGTTCCATCTGCTTTTCATTTCTCAGATTAGAATGTCACACATTGCTTTAACTGCATCAGCCACACTTTCCGCCGTTGCTTTTCACCGTATGCTCTCTTCTTCTATCTCCATATTTATTTATCATATTACTCACACATCGCTCATTGTTTCGAAGCTGAGAAGAAGTGAGGGAAAATTATTGGTGTTTTTTCTTTTTTACTTTTAATTATTACTATCAATTCGATTTCATTGCGTCTTTGCATGAGCATCCTTTTGGCTGTTGCAGGTAGAGCGAAGCGATGGAGCACGCTATTTCCGAGTTTTCGGAGATGCAGGGGAACCGGTTCGTCTTTGTATGCAAACTCTTCCAGGAAACGCTTGCAACTGCGGTTTTTTGCGTCGGGGAGAAGTAGCGGCAATGGAGGTGTTGCGGAGGAGATATCTGAAGCCGAAAAAGAGACTACGAATTTCGTTTGGCCTGATAGCAAGGTTTCGAAGCGTTACTTTTTCTGTTTTTAATATCGGATTTGTATGGAGTTTGTTTGCATGTGTGATTGGCTTGGGATCCCTGAGTTCCTGATTTATGTTTGAAATTTCATGTTTAAATTGAGTAGAGAAACAATTATCTGTTTGCAGAAGCCTAGGGTGTGCATATTAGGCGGTGGATTTGGTGGTTTGTACACTGCTTTAAGGTTGGAATCACTGGAGTGGCCTGAGGATAAAAAACCACAGGTTAGTTGTCATTCAAGATTGTGAACTTTTATTTCGTATCACATAGCAGGTTCCTTAGATCTCCAATGTCTATTGGTTTGATAGCCATGGAAAGTTTGTCATTGCTTGTGGTCGTATTATCTCTGTATGCTTTTTTAATGCATTGGACACATGAAAGCATGTTACCATGATTTTTTTCCTCCCCTTTTTATTCTTTCCTACTCAAGTAATTTGTTGAAAATATTACTTGACCCTTCATACAAGAACTTATTTAATGTGCTAATGAAATGCATTTCCCACACTTCACTCCACTTTAGAATGAATGGAACCTTTTAGAATTACGATATTAAACTAGGATGCGGTTAATGCTGATATGTGAACATGTTAAGGAATATGGATTATGGCATAATAAAATTAAGATTTGCTGTTGAATATTCATCCTGTACTCTACTTATTTGCCTTTGTTTTAAGGTATATCGTTATATTCACTAGGAATGGTTTAATTCCTAGGTAAAAGGAACTTAGTGGCCGCTTAGGCTGTCTCAGTACATTTACCAATGGAACAAAAGGGAAAAAAACCACAACAGAACCTTTAACATTTGCAAATGTCTGTCTTGATCAGAAATTATTTTCTTCTTCTCATGCAAGTTGCTTGTACAATTATGATTATGATGTCTTATATCCATGATCTCTGACTTAATCGTTATATTTTTCTGTACACTTTTTCGTTTACTTGTGGATATTTAAATAGAAAAAATCTTTATCGGACATGAAACAGATTGTTCTTGTCGACCAGTCTGAGCGTTTTGTTTTCAAGCCAATGTTGTACGAGCTTCTATCTGGAGGTATACATTATTAAGCCTAACCAACAACTGCGCTTTTTATTCCCCTTTATTCCAAAGGTGATTCAACAGAATTACATTATGACATGCAGAAGTGGACGAATGGGAAATAGCTCCTCGTTTCTCAGATTTGCTGGCAAACACTAGTGTGCTGTTCTTCAAAGATAGAGTAAAATTTTTGCTTCCCTCTGATCATTGGGGAATGAATGGATCCAAAACATCTAGTTGCGGAGGAACAGTTCATCTTGAAAGTGGCCTTCTTATTGAATATGACTGGTACAAACTACACTATTTAAGTACATCAGTGTATCCTGGCAGCAATTTTGTTTTATACAGTGCTTAAGATGATATGTTTTTCTATGGGTCTGTATTCTTCATATTACCCAGTTCAATTTGTAAACAATGAGCTGCCTAATGCCTACTACTTGCGTATTTATTTTGTTAATTTCTTGTGAACATGCTTAAGCTTATGCTTCTCATGCTGATTAGGATGGTTGGGCAGGATCCTTTTGATGTAGTTTAGTGAAATGTTCCTCTATGTACTAAAATAACCTGCAAAAGAAAAATGAATTTGTTTAATGTTAAATAAAATACATTTGTAGTGTTTTGAATCTTTTGATAAATAAAATTATTCTTTTCTGTTGATTTGAACTTTTACATTTCTTCATGCTGGACAGCCAGGCTGGTTCTTGCATTGGGAGCTGAAGCTAAACTAGATGTTGTACCAGGAGCAGCAGAATTTGCAATTCCTTTCTCAACACTAGAGGATGCACGTGTAAGTGCATGATAGGGTGGATCAATTATATAATATCTCAAGACTAATAGACTGAGTCAATATCTTGCAATTTTTATACCTCATTGATTTACATGCCGGTTTCTTGTTGCAGAAAGTCAACTACAAATTAACAGCATTAGAGAGAAAGACCTTTGGTAAGGACTTCCAAATTAGTGTAGCTGTTGTTGGTTGTGGTTATTCTGGAGTTGAATTAGCTGCAACACTAGCAGAGAGATTACATAATAGAGGAATTGTGAGAGCAATTAATGTTGAAACAATGATTTGCCCAAATGCCCCACCTGGCAATAGGGAAGCTGCACTAAAAGTAAGTTGTTTAGAGTTTACATTTTATGCTCACTAGAACTTTGATATCTGTTTTGTATAAGTCAGAAAACAATTTGCAATTATATATCAAGGCAAACTGATCTTTGCTTAAATGTAACCCTCATTATACAAGGCAAGAATTAGGTTTGCTGAATTTAATGTTCCATCCTTCTGTCAGCAGGAACAAGGGTGTGCCGTTTGCCTGCTTCTAATTTTAGTTGGACTTGAATGTTCAGATTCAAACAATTTTTTTCGTGAGCTTGGTGATGCCTAAGTAAACATCTTTATTTTTTATGAGGACTTAATTTTTTATTAATAATTTTAAAAGTCCTCATTAATTTTTTAAAACACAAATAGGTCCCCGTAACTTGAAACTTGTAAGCAAATCTTTGTAATTTTTAAAATTCCCTTCTTTTTACACTATAGGGACTCAATTACAGGTTTTAAACTATACGGAGTTATTTAAACTATAGTAGTATAATCTAATTGTTTGCCTAAAACATTCTGAAGAAGAAATTCTCAGCAGTTTGAAATTATGAAATTTCCTTTCATGTAACTTCACTCCTGGCATTGAAAAACTGAATGTTTTGGAAACACCTACTTGAAGTCCTGCTCTAGTTTTTGCATGCCATTCAATTGTGTATTCCTCTAGGTCCATTACCAATGTTATTGCAAATAATGCTTATGGTTTCTGAAAGGAAACATCATGCTATGGATGCCAGGTTCTTTCATCCAGAAAGGTCGAACTTTTATTGGGTTATTTTGTCCGCGGTATTCAGAGGCTCAGTGAATTGGAGTCTTCAGAAGTAGTACCTGATACTGAGAAATATATACTGGAGCTGCAACCTGCCGAAAGGGGAATGCAAAATAAAATCATCGAAGCAGATCTGGTATTGTGGACTGTTGGAACCAAACCTCCTCTTCCTCAGCTGGAACCTTCTGATGTACCATTTGTAATTCCTCTTAATGCCCGAGGACAAGCTGAAACAGATGAAACACTTCGTGTTAAGGGTCACCCTCGAATATTTGCCCTTGGTGACTCTTCTGCATTAAGGGATTCAAATGGAAGGATCCTTCCAGCCACTGCACAGGTGCAACTGCTGTTTGATATCCCATGTGCTGATACTATGATATGTATATAAATAATGAGGATACTATCAACTTTGTTTTCTGATTGTTTTCCTTCACCTTGCAGGTTGCATTTCAGCAAGCAGACTTTACTGGTTGGAATCTATGGGCTGCAATCAATGGGCGTCCACTTTTGCCATTCAGGTATTATTGCATTCCAAAGTTGTTTAATTATTCTGTAATCTACACACTCCTAATGCTATATTTGTTCTTAATTGGTTGCCAGGTTTCAGAATCTGGGTGAGATGATGACCCTGGGAAGAAATGATGCCACCGTTTCTCCGAGTTTTGTTGAGGGTCTAACCTTAGAAGGTTCTATTGGTCATGCTGGTAAGTTGGCCTCATGCAGTCTGCGTCATTCTTCATTATGTTAGTTATTACCCATAAAATAAAGAAGAATAAACAGGTTTGAGCTGTTCTGTTTTTGCAGCGAGGAAGATAGCTTACTTGATAAGGTTACCAACGGATGAACATAGGCTTAAAGTGGGGATCAGCTGGCTTACAAAATCTGCAATTGATTCTGTGTCATCGCTACAGAGTACCGTGTACAAGGTCCTTTCGGGCTCATAGCCCATTCAGATTGCTGTATATAGCGTGGCTAAGTATTTTTATTTAGATGATACAGAATATATCAGCCATGGCTTTGTTCCTTGTATCACAGAGGACTGTATGTAGGATGGATATCAGAGATACATGATCGAGTAAAGCGGTTATTGATTAAAAAAAAATATATGGAAAGGTTTTTTGGGGGTCCAGAATTAAAAGGATTTGTGTTATTCAATTTTACTCCCCCCATCTAGCAATTTTTGAGAGGGATTTTGATAACACTGTTACATTGGGCTTTTGTAGAAATAAAAATTTGACAGAGGGACCCATCATCTCTCAACTTTGTATGGAAGTTAAGGACCTAAAAAAGAACTTCGCAAGAAAGTTAGCAATGAATGTCTAATAGTTTCATTCTAATCAGCGTATCTGGCTCTAACCGGATTCCTTTTCTCAAATTTTCCAGTAAAGCTTATTTTTATCAGTCAACTTTCTCAATTGTTTTTAAAATATTTTATATTCATCTTGTATTACTAAATACATAAAATATACATGAATGTTACATTTTGTCATTAACACGATGCATTAAATGGAATTGATTGTGAATTTAATGGTGTTTAACAAGTGTTAGAAACACTAATATATTCATTCTAATGTACTTTTATTTATTAAAAATTATAAAAGTATGGGATAAAAATTATTAAATTGAAAGTGTGATTTACATGCTTTTTGTGGATTTTAATTAATTTAACTAATGATAAAGAGTGTTAAATATTATGTTATATTGTTTTTATAATAATATTAGCAGTCAATTTTAAGTATACACTAATAATAATTTTATTAAGAATAAAGTATTGATTATTTTTTAATGTAATATTTACGTTTTTAATCATAGAATAAATGAATAGAATAATATCTTTCACTATCACCTCAACGTTAATTATGTTATCATGTCGAAGAAATTATTAATATTTAATATGAAATAGAAGTACACTATTCCATAATATTTAAATTATATTGTATTTTCCTTTTGTAATAGCTTGTCCTCAAAACTTCCGTAACCAATAGCATCATTATTTCAAAATTACGAAGAATTCAACCACTTGAAGAGTCAATTTTATTGATATTTAGTTAATGGAAAGGTTTGTTGTTTTTCCTTGGAGGAAATCCACGTGAAGTCAACGTCATTCCGAATCAGCCTAATTTTCTCATTTAGGGTCGCCAAGGTAGGTGGCACAGATCACATGCTTATCGATCCAGAAAGATCCTAAATATTAGTACAATTCATTTCCTACTTATTTTGATCAAGAAAGATTCTAATTCAAGCCACACATTCCACATCAATATTTTTCAAATGCTATTTTGAATTTGAACCTGAGTTAACACTTAAAATTTAACTTTTAAGTTGAAAACTGTTTTTACCTTTATAAATTTTATTTAAGTTGTATCCATAGTTATGTGAAATATCAATAAATTCCAATTCAATTCTTTACTTAGAAGTTACAAGATCTTCGTTAATTTTATCAAACAAAAGCTAAGTTGTTTTTGAAGCAAGGCAATGTCCCTCTAGAAGTTTCAATATCTTCTTACACTTTTCTTTTAATCCAAGAAATAGTCTAAGAAAGTGGATAAAGTTTCGTGTCTTGCACTTAGAACTAAAATTTGGAGGGAGAGGGCAAAGTCTGCTCTGTTCATTTGATTGATTCCAATTTGCAAAGCACAAGTTATCACTATATATATATATATATATTGCCCTTCTCATTTTTCCTCAATTGATTAGCTTTTTTTTTCTCAACCGTCGCCATCTAACATTAGTTATACGTCACATCAACTTGAGTATGAGGTAACTCACATTACTTGCATGTGTAACAAGGCATAGGATCATTTTTTTTATTTTTATCTTCAAAGTTTTAAATTTTTCAATAATTATTAATCTCACCATGAATGCTTTTTTATGCGTTTAACTGAACCAAATGAATAGCGTGTGGAATAGTTTTCTTTCAAGTGTGAGCCTTTTAAAGTTCTTACCAAAACCATTGTTAGCGTATGGGTTATATTTCATTTCATTGGATAAACAAAAAGACGTATTTAGATCCATTTTTATATTAATTAAAGAAGGTTTATTAAAAGTAAATGAGTGATACACTTTTGTTATCATGTTTGAGTGCTGTGAAGTCCAATGACACTTTCGAAGAATAGCTTTGAACTTTTGCAGATACTATGAGAGGCATTCAATGCCGAATTTATCAATTTCTTCAACCTAACATCAAATGGATCCACTTTATCATCCTTATACAATAGTAGTAATTTTTAGGACCATAAGTGATATATCTTTTTAAAGATTTATATAATTTTTTTTAATATTCTAAAAATAAGAAAACAACAAAAAAACAAACTGAGATAAAAAAAATGTGAATTTAAATTAAAAATAATATTCTTCATCCTTATTTTATTTTTATTAAAAAAACATAATTATTTTTATATTTTCTTTCTTCTCATTTGTAAAATTACACAAAGTTGATAATCTAAATTACTTAACCTGGTCGATGGACACACTATCACATCAAAGAAGGATTTATACAATTATTTAATTACAATGATTTTATTAATTATTATATTAAAAGAAATAGTTCAAAATAAATGATTAATTTTTTTATTAAAAATATGATAAAAATATATTGATAATTTTAAATATTATATTTAAATTTTTTATTTTTATAATTTAATATAGAAGTTTTGTTTAAATATTGATAAATAAAATGGTTAATTTTTTTATATTTAATATATATTTTATTTTGACTCTTTATTCATTGCCTTAAGAATAAGGAATGTAAAACGGTTAATATGAAATGATAATTTATTATTGTTGATTGTTTTATTTAAGTAACTTAAATTAGGTTTATTTTCCTATAAAAGGGGCTTAAACAATGAATTACGTTTTTTGAATTATTTAAAAAATTTCTAAACTATTGCCATAAATGATTTTTTTTTTAGTACTGCCATACACTGGTTCAACAGTCAATTTAATTGAGTCATTGTGGGTCAATATGATTTTTTTTAAAAATTTACTTTACAATCACATCAATAATATAATATTAATATGTATTAACATATGATTATATCAGTTAATGCATTAATAACTTAATGAAACTTATCATAATTATCTTTTATTTTTCAGCCTTTTCTTTCATTGGCTAAGTTTTTTGCTATTAGACTAGACTAAATTAAAACATAATTGAATCTAAGTTTTTAAATATACAAAAAATTTTAGACTAATTTATGAAACTTGATCATTTATAGAATCAATTACTTAAATGTACAATGATATGTTCCTACTTACTACTCACTTCGTAGAAACTAGAGCTATTGTAGGGACACACTCCTAATAATCACTTACCCTAAAGATACCGGAACTCTCTTGAATCATTATTAATGTTAAGCTACTTTTTCTTTTTGATGTTGTTCTAATCCACCAAGATCCATTTATTTGGAGTAAAAAATTGCTTCTAGATTTTGTTGGAACCATAAAAAGAAAAGTAAACACTCAAATACATTCTACAAATTTTTATTACTAGACACATGTTTTTAAGAATGAATAAATCCCACTTTATTCCACAAAAATTACAAAAACAGAAGTTTTGATTCTTAAAGCATTTATAATTTTCTCATTTTATTTTTATTTTTATTTTTAATAAATATTTTATCAAACATTTTGGTTACAAAATTATCTCTTTCATATAATTTTTTTCATTTAATTATTGTAATTATCACGATATTTATGAGAATTAAATGAGATTTTTTATATATAAAAAGATTGATAGAAAAACCTCGTAATGTTTAGAAAATTTAAATAAAAATAAAAATCATAAAAAAATTGATTAAAAAATTATAATCAACTCATTTAAAAGGTACATAAAAATGAAAAATAAAATAAAATCTTTTAGAAACTAAAACTTAATTAGTAAATTACAAATATTGGTCATATTCTTCCTTTTCAAGGATTAGAAAAAAACCCATGTTTAAGAATGAATATCGTCAACATTTAAGATTTTTGAAATTAATACATTTTTTTATTTTTTAATTAACGACTGATGTGGTGTATGCTAAATTTTTCAAGAATGAATTTGGTTTCATTGTTAAAATCAAGGATTCGTTATTTTCACTATATTTTAATAATTAGAGACTTAAAATAAAATATTCTTAAGTTTTTAGACTAAATAATAATAGTATAAGACTTATAAATTTTCATTACACAATCAATAACTTTTATTAGTTATTAATTAGTCAATGATTATTAAAAACAAATCATACTTAACTTATCTGTATTATCAAATCTTATAAAGAATATTCTAACTATATTTTTAATTAACATGAAACATTTTAATATAAATTTTAAAAATATCTATAATTGAAAAGATATTTTAGAAGCACTACTGATAAAAACATCCCATTCCATTTCCAGCAACATTTAGGCATTGGACCACTAACAATTAAAAAAATATATATAATAAAGTAAACTGCAGTAACTTACATATTCATGCAATGACAAGATTGTAAATAAAACCAACTTGGTTGTAGAGACTAGAAAGCCAGAAGTAGCATTCTACTAATGAATTGCTTACATTTTCAACATGCAGCCAAAACTACACTCAGCCAAAAAATACTAAAAAGCCATTTTAAAATCTTATTATATGAGCTGCATAAGGAATAGCAAGGGGAATATAATGTTCAACTCTTAGTTTTTCTCATACAAACTCCCGTGTTAATGAAAATGACTTGTTTTCTAGTTGTCATACCACACCCTATCCATCATCATGACAATTATGAATATATATGATTATAAGAAGATTGAATTACTGTCATGTTACTCTTGCTATCTCCGCCTATTCTTCCTATAATATGTAATCTACTTTGTTGATAACCCTCTGTTCTCTCCATTTTTTTTTGTCATTCTAAAGAGAAACTGTGTAAGACTAATGGGTTTGTTCAAAAGTAAGGGTGTGGTTTATAGGCCTGTGAAGGATGTGAATTTAGGACCTGATAGCAGTGAATTCTATCTCCAAGCCAATGTCAAAGGTTCATGGTTCATCATTGTCTTTTATTACTGTTTTTTAATTCTTGTTCTTTTTATATGGATTTTTATATGACACGAAAGTTTTTCCATTTTCTTGGCATGGTTTATTTCATGGAAAGTTTATTAAGGCTCACTTTCTTGGTTAATTGTAATAATTACAACTCTCTGGCTTGATGCAGAGGAGTTTCAGGATCACAGAAGGTTATGAATATGCTGCTTGCTAGTTCATAATGAAAACATTTTCCAGCTTTATATATATTCACATAGTTATTTAGTTTAGAAATTAATATTTATATCAGAATCAATGGTTGTCAGTGAGTTTTATATCTTAATAGTTGGTAGTAATCATCATTGTTTCAATTATAGCTCCCCGCATGGCTGGAATCTTGGTCAAGATTTTCACTTGGTTCTTGGAATCTTCAATATTTGGATCCAAGCTATTGTATATATTGAAGGGAAACAATCTAATTCATAAGGTAAGCTCTTGGACCATGATCACTTGCACTCCCTTTTTTACATGTTCCTGAAATTTTGTTCCAACTGAAGCAGAATTTCATCCTCTGTGTACTAATAACACACTATATACTTCTGCAACTTCTTGAAGTTTTATGCTCGTAGAGACTAGTCATGAGGATATCACTTAAATAGATTTTTCCTTTTCCCAATTCTTAGCATTTTTTTTAAAATTTCTGCAGCTTATTACAAATGCAAAGTTAGAAGAGTCACCCCTCTATGTTCCCTCACATCATTTCGAAGGTTAGTTATTTTCTTTCCATCAGATGATGTACAAAAATTAGATATTTGCTTCATGATAGTGTGAACATAGATATTATTTAATTGCTGAGTACCTTAGGTATCATAAATCAGGTTATGAATTTTGTATTGGATCATGTATCTATCTTTGATAAACCAATTAGTTATCTATGATAGCCGGGAATACGTTGAATAATTTTGTTAATAATTAAGAATATTTTCAATGGAAAGTGGATCTCTGATTTCAGTTTATTACTAGCAGATCACAGAGAACAAGAAGTCAAATTCTTAGATTCTGCTTTAACTCCACCAGAGCAAGTTCAACATGCAATAGAGTGCTTACCTGCATCTTCAGAAAAAGCTCTAAATGGAACGAAGCCTTCATTCTGTCGCTGGACCATAATGGACTATTCAAGAGCCTACAACTCGGGAGATATAACACCACTCATGGTATTTCACATCTTATATATTCATATTCTTTTATCATGATTGTGTTAAATCATCAACACCAGCTTGTATAAAGTTTTGTTGTTCAAAATTTAACATTGGATAAATTTGATTTTGCAAAATATTTTTTATCTTAATAATGTGTTTTAGGATTGCAGCCACATGCCCTTTTATATTTGTAGTTGCTCTTGATTCTGATGTAGTGTACTTTTCCATTCCTGAGTTCTTTTTTCATTTGCAAAGGTTGCAGAAAGATTTATAGCTGCTGTTGCTGAATCTTCAAAACCTCCACTCCAAATGGGATTCTTTATTAACTACAATGCTGATGATATACTAAAACAAGCAAAAGAATCAACTCTTCGATATCAGAAAGGTACTAAATAGCAATTTCAAGTATCAATAATCGAAGTTTATCTGTACTCAAGTCTCAGCCCTCTTCATATACTCATTTGGTGCATGTTGCTTTTGTAGGGGAGCCTACATCTGTGCTAGATGGAATTCCTGTTGCTGTCAAGGATGAAATAGATTGTTTGCCATATCCAACTACAGGTAATGCAATGTGTTATTCTTTACACTAAGGTGTTGTGTATTCAAAACTTCAAATGCTTTAGCTGCTGATTTCATTATTCACTTGAGTATCTAAAAATGGTGTCCTCTAGGAGGTACAAAGTGGCTGCACAAAGAATGGCCTTGTATAGATGATGCTTATTGTGTCAAGCGTCTAAGATTATGTGGTGCCATACTTGTTGGGAAGACTAATATGCATGAACTTGGAGCTGGAACTAGTGGTATCAATCCACATTATGGGTAAGAAACCATGTGTTATACAACTTATATTTTTATCCACATTATTTTACATCTTTGGTATCTTCTGAACTATCTGTTTATTTACTTCTGTAGGGCTGCTAGAAACCCATATGATACCAATAGAATTGCAGGAGGTTCTTCTAGTGGATCTGCTGCTGTGGTGTCTGCAGGGTTGTGTCCTGTTGCACTTGGCGTTGATGGGGGAGGTATTTTATTTAAACATGCAGATGAAAGATCAGCGAACTCATCATTCATTATTACTTATAAATAGTTCACTTAGTTATGTTTTAGCCAAAGTGATATGAATTTACTAGATAAATCTATATCAGTAGGTGCATAAAAATTTAGTCTATAATCTATATATAGACAACAAAAGCTGGTGAATAAATATTTGAATATCATCCTTGATCAGGTTCTGTGAGGATGCCTGCAGCTCTTTGTGGTGTTGTTGGTCTAAAACCAACTTTTGATCGTGTACCTCATTCGGGGTGAGTATGCAATTTGGTTTTGTCATGTTTAAATAAACTAAGAGGATTGCAATGTTTTAGAGGAATGATCTTGTGCTTCATTCAGAGTCCTTCCTCTGAACTGGACAGTTGGGATGGTTGGAATACTAGCAGGCAATGTTGAGGATGCATTGATCGCGTTAGTAATATTTTCTATGATGTTCTTCTTCAAGGATGTTTTAAGATTTGTTTTAAAAGTTCTAATATCTCTATATTTACAGTTATGCAGCTATCAGTGGTGAAGTTCCATCCCATCAGCCCCCTAGTATGCTTGTAAGGACTTGTTTTTGCTCATATTTCAAATGATTTTTTTTTATCACTGATTAATTTTTCAAGAGACTCATTTCTATCTTGCAAGTATCACACTGTTAATGAAGTTCAACAAACAGGCTGAATTTAACCTGCTCCTAATCTTTTTAAACTTCTGAAAATATTTTGTGCAATACCCTAGACCAAGATAAATCTTCCACTGCTGCCCTTCACAAAGTCCATATCAGACATCAAGTTGGCAAAATATGGGAAGGTTAGAAACAAGTTTCCTTGCCTTTCATATATTAATTATTCATCCCCATATATTGAAAAAGTAGATTGTTCTAACACTAATTCCATCTAACCACTAATTCCATCATTAGTGGTTTGATGATTGCAGTGATGATGTCAGAATATGCTGCTCCAATGCTTTAAGCGAGCTTCAGAATCATTATGGTTGGAAGGTACTGCAGAATTTAACCCAAAAAAATAAAATTTTTAAATGTTGATTTTGTCATCATGCTTAATATATTTTAAGAAGTTTTACTATTTGATGTGAAGTTTGATTATTAAGGATAGAAAATCTTCAAAGAGCTTTTCCATTGCAATTATTAAACCTTTCATTAAGAAATAGGAACTTAACAACCTTATTTTAAACATACAAGGTGGTAGATGTCACTATACCAGAAATAGAAGCAATGCGCTTGGCACATTACTTAACAATTGGATCAGAGTGTTCCACTTCGCTTGATTCTTTTGGAGAGAAGTATGCCTTCTTAAATCCTTGACTCTCTTCCTTATTACCCTCTAGATTGAAAAGGTTGTTATTGCTGACATTACTAAATTATTACCAAAGACATTTTGCAGAATTAGGATGGGATGCAAGGGTAGCACTTAGCATCTATGGCGCTTTCAACAGCAAGGAGTATATTAAAGCTCAGAAAATGAGGCATGTTATGACTTGGTTTTCTAAATAAGTGATATGAAAAGTTAGGCTAAGAAATTCAGATAATTAAAGTTAAACTCAATAAAATAAAAGCACAATATTAGAAAACCTTGACAGCATTTTGCCACCTGCTTGAAAAGTATGCATTACTCTCTTTACTTAATATTGTTTTTGTAATCAAATCATTGTCTCCTGTCAACACTAAATTATCACTTCTCAAGACCACTACTTACGTGGCCACTGTAAGCTTAGCATGGGAATGCCATCTAACATAAGGAGAGACGGAGGGTAAGTTTCAGTATTTAATATTAAATGAATTATTGAAACAATGCTAAAACTCAACCCATTATATAGTTTTGACAAGTAACTTCAAGGACCTTTGAGAAAATATTGTCTGTTTCTGTTTCTTGTTTTCACTCTAAATCACCATTTTCATTTTGTTTCTTATTTTTTTAAAGATTTGTTCAGAAAAACTGAAAATAATAAAACAATGTGCTAGTTTTATAATTGAAAGAAAAATAAAAAGGTATTTTCTCAAATCAAGCTACCTTAATTTTTCTCCATTGTTCTGTTGTCCAAAATCCAATAAAATTTTCATATACTCAATCCAATCACGTTTCATTTTATACGTAGCTGTGTATAATTTTAACTAGAATACATTAATAGTATAAATGTCTTTTATTCAGCACCTAATCATAAATTATTACATCATTGACTTTGACCCATTTTGAATAAATTTTTTGAGAAGTTCTCATAAAAAAAAAAACAGAATAAAAAATAAATAAAACTTCTTTTATAAATTAGAAATAATTTATATTTCTTTATTTTTTTTCTCTTATATGATATTATTTATAAGTTTATTAGCCTTTTGTCATGACTACTTCAAAAGTTATATTTAACATGTTTTACAATTAATTGGCAGCGTAAAAACTGACTGAATATCAAAATCTATCTCTTATGAAAATATTCTGAAACCAGCATATAGTCAATGTTGACTCTCTCCTCTGAGTTTGTAGAATTTGAAGATGATAGATGGTTGTCAAATTATGAACAGGAATCGCCAGTTGCAGTTTCACAAGAAAATATTAGCTGAGGCAGATGTCATTGTGTCACCAACAACAGGGTTTGTCCAGTTTTCTCAAACTTAACACAATGCCTTTCTTTGAAGCAGTAGCAATTTTCTCTTAGGTAACAAATGCTTAATATTTATAACAGTGTGACTGCATACCCAATTCAAGATGATGCACTCAAGACTGGTGAACTTGACTATGTCAATGGAGGTACATACGAAATTCATATTTGTAGTGACACTTGAAGTTGTTGGTAGCATAAATAATTCGCTTTTTTTTTTCAGCTGCACTTGTTCGGTATTCCATATCAGGAAACTTCCTGGGACTTCCTGCAGTAACTGTTGCGGTATGATTATATTCTCCTTTTACTTAGTTACTGTTAGAAATTAAGTGAGAATGAAAAAATGAAAGTTTCATGATACATAAATATTTAGACCTTATTTGAATTTATCTTTAAATAGTCATGAATTTATATTTACTTTAATGCTATTAACTATAATCTCTGTGTTAGATTTATGTAAACAAATTTTTCATTATATTTCTAAACACAATCAATATTTTAATATTTTGTTGAACCTGGTATCTAATCTACTCACCTGATTTGTTTTTGACCCGTTACTAGAACAGGGTAAAATAAAAATTTAATAACAATATATGGACTTTTTACACAGACAATATATTAAAATTAATTTCTTAAAAATAAGAATTTAAACAATTACGTAGATTTTTTTTATAGATAATATGCCAAAACTAAATTCTTAAAATAAAACAGAATAGTTTTATTTAGTTATCAAATGCTACCTTATTTTTTAAGAACTAGGATTCAGTGACAGCTCAATTGTCCTTTCATCACAGGTTGGTTACGATAAATTGGGTTTACCTATTGGTCTTCAGTTTATAGGAAGGCCTTGGGCTGAAGCAACACTGATCCACTTGGCATTTGCAATGCAGGTAATTAATTAAATTCCTTGGTTTATGATTGCAACTGTAGCCACTACACTATTAAATACTACAGAGCATAGGTGACAAATCATTTTTTTTTCATATAAGTTGTGATCCAAACTTAAGAAAATGCAAATATATTATGGTTTGCTCTGAAGTTAAGTGCTAACATCATGGTGCTGTGTTATGATCTCAGGCCATATGCTTGTCAGAATACAGAAAGCCAGATATTTTTTATGATCTGCTAAGAAAAGATTAAATGGAGTCGGGCATATCAGAAGGAACATACTCAAGCAATTGCATGCATGCATGTCTTTTCAAGCAAAAGCAGAACCATTTTGTTGTCATTGTTTGATCTGTTGGGAGTCTTTTTCTTCATTTATTTTTGTCACATTCTGTTATTATTTTGTCAACATTAACATCTCACTCCATGGCATGTTTCGCTTTTTTAAGCCATATAATTCAAATCGTTGTCATAGACCTCGATTTTAGCTCAAGAACATGAATTTTGGAAAGATAAACAACACCAAGGAAAAAAAAATTAAAAAAGTAAAATTGATTGATAAAAAAAAAAAAGGTCCTACCGGGAGTCGAACCCAGGTCGCTGGATTCAAAGTCCAGAGTGCTAACCACTACACCATAGAACCTTGTTGATGACGTGCTCGAACATGTAATATACACATGCAATCTTGCATATATGCATCAACAATCACGATTGATTTTGTTGATACACTATCTTAAAGACTGAAAAAAAAAAAGTTGACAACAGTTTGTTTAAAATGGTAAATAAAATAATTATCAAAACAACTACTCTTTATTAGGATTTCTTTTATCACTTATCCAATACATATTGAAGGGAAAAAAAGGGTTGGTCAAACAAGTTGTTTGGAATAGGATTTTGAAAGAGAGGAAAAAAATTTATTTTAAATAAATGGATTTAAATTTAATAATATTTTAAAATAAAATATTATCGAAAATGATATATAATTATTAATTAAATTTTTTATCCTCCTATCATTTAAGCTCTCATTTCAAACAATTCCTAAGAGCACAGTGGAAACCATCAATTAGTAGTAGGAGGGTTCCTATCTAATAAGTGGATTTTTCACCACATTTTAACCCAAAGTTTTAATAGATTATGTTTGTAAGTCTTTTCTTTTATAGTCCCGAGTTGCTGAGCTCCTAAATAGTGGCCCCTTTGTAGCAGAGGATGTTGTGTACAACATGACCTCATTCATCAGTGCAACTAGTTTTTGTGATTGGCAGCTCATCACTCACGTGTGTGGGGCATCAATGAGAGCTATTAGCACGATGCTCTGCCTTGTGTTTGTGATTTCATTTTCTACTTTTGATGTTACACAATGTCAACTATTATTTTTTCCACAATTGAATGCAAATAATTAGGAGGGGTGATGGATGCAATATAACTTGTAAACTTAACTAACTTTACCCGATTAAAAAAATAAATAAATTATAATTTGAATTAAATCAGATTATAAAAAGTGTAACTCAACCATATTAATTTATTAATATTTTTGTTAAATAAAAAATAAAACATATGTGTGTAATATGAAATTTTGGGTTTTTTTCAGTTGTCTACTGATGTTAAATCAATGTTTTATAAGGGGTGGTGGCGCAGTTGGCTAGCGCGTAGGTCTCATAGCTTAAGAGTGATCCTGAGGTCGAGAGTTCGAGCCTCTCTCACCCCAACCCCTTTTTTAATTGCTTATGTCATAATTTATTTATCATATAATTTTTAATAAAAGTTTATTAAATGTACATTCTTATTATGTATTATTAGATATTGGGTAACAAGAAGTGTTTTATTTATTTGGGGCTGTTTTCATGAGCCATAAGAGAACGATTTAGGATATTGAGTTATAATTAATTGCCATAAACGACCAATTGCTATGATTTGTCTAAGCGGTATAAGCGCTAGAAGGTGCAAATAATTAGCCCTTGAAGATGGGGTACCAGCTGTCTTGTTGTCTAATAGCAAGAGGCAAAGAAAACACCTAAAGAAAGTTTAATAATTTGGACTTTATATGTATTTACTATATTTGCTTTGAACATTTTCACTTCTTCAAGCATTGCTATTTATGTAAATACGTAAAGTAGGATTCATACACATCGAATCCATAAGAGAAAAATGAATAAACCAAATTTACAACTCAACCTTATCTTTTCTCCACTTTATTCAGTGACTTCTTGTCTTGCTTACACTTCTGCTTCTAGGGATGAACTTACCAAAGCCACTACGGCTTTTCTCATTGGTAATAGATGAGTTTAACGAAATGGGTGTCTCAGAATCTATTTTGGGCAAGCTCAAATCACTATGATGTAACTTCAACTGTTCACCACCATTTTGAAGACCTTGTGTGATTTCACAAGTTAACTCCATTGGGTTGTCTGAATCAAGTAGAAAGTCTTCCAAAGTTGCAAGGGACCTTAGCTGCTTTCCAAGAGATGCAATAGTTTTCTGGCACTCGGAAAATTTACTAGCAGCCAATGCAAGTTCCTTTTCCTGCAATAGGAGATTCCAAGCTCTTTATATTAAAAGACAAGTATAAAATGTTTAATGCAAGAGATTTAATCAACAGCTATCACTTATATTTATCTATCTAGGCATCAAATGCATTTTCAACAAATCATCTGGAGTGAAACATAATACTTTTCAGCTAATACTTAGCTTTAAATGCTCACTAATATGATATTATATATAATTATGTTTATACTTTATATTAACTGCAACATAAAGGAACTGGGAGCATTGCAAGTATAATCTTGCAAAGCGTTGGTAAAATGAGCACCTATGTGAGAAACATGCTAGAGATCATTATCTCTTTTCAAATAGGCTAAGCATGGTTGTACAAATCATGCTTTTATATAGTAGTTTGGACTCTGGAAGCAGAAAAGTTGCTTGACTAGCAAGTCAATGACAATTTATAAATATGTTGATAGACAATGATTATAAGGTTTCTCTGAAACCATGCACAGAAAATTTTTTCCACCAAAAAATGAAAGAAAAGAAAAAAGATTGAAGAATCATGTTTATGCATATTGCACTTGACAATTTACATCATAAAAAAAAAACAATGCCAGAAAGTTAGATAACATGTTTCTTCAATATGAAATACATTAAAGATAAGCCTTGGTAAACTGACCTGTTTTAGCTTCAAATCGTTATTAACACCTTGCCTATGCAATATCTCGGTATCTTGCTGAACTTGAGCTTCATGCTTCATTCTCGAAAGCTCATCCTCCAACTTTATGCGTTTGAATGAATTCTCAGCAGACAAAGCTCGCTCCTCTTGAATCTCTTCCTTCAAAGAATGGATTTTTGAAATCAGTTCATCGACCTCAGTTTGAGTGAGTTTGAGTTGTGACTCAACTATCTCTTTGTTTGTTTTGGTTGCTTTTAGTTCTTCGCTTGCTTCTTGATTTGATTTGTTTGCAAGGGCTAACTGAGTTTGAAGCTCGGCTACCTTCAACTCGGCTTCCCTTATTCGACTATCTGAAGCCTCAAGCTGCATTTGGCACTCAGTTAAAACCATCTCTACCTCAAGTTTATCTGCATCCATTTTCTCCATCTTCTTCTCCAATTCAGCATTATTTAGAATCATGGCTTCTACCTCAGATTCCATTTTCTTTAGCTTCTTTTCCAATTGAGAATTCTTTTGAATCATAGCTTCCACTTCAGCTTTCATTGATGCCTGACCAACATTGGATTGATCTGATGCTACTCTTCCACTTTCTGTATCTGGCAATGCAGCAAGTCTTTCCATCTCAAGGAAGTCATCCATGAGATTGATCTCAGTTGAAGGGACCATATGATTTTTTCCATTAGCCTTTGGATTCTTAAATTGATCAAGTTCAGTAACTAAAGAAGATGACCATGAATCAAAACGGTTTGGCTCACATTCATTCATCTCCCAGCCACCTAATTTATGCATATCACTTTCAACTGCAAGTAGCCTTTCTCCACTATCTGACATGCTATCTGTGAAGGACTCAACATAGACTGAAGAAGCAGTCAAAGGCCTGTGATCATTAACCGAAACTGTTTTTCGAGTCATGGCTTTCAGTCTTCGGCACTCAGCTTCGAGCTTAGCAACCTTCTTGACACACTCCAAATGTTGCTTGCTAGCTGTTTCAGCAGCTTGAGCACTCAAATCCCTCTCAACAATCCTGAATTCAAGTTCCTCAAGTCGAGATTCTAGCTCAAGTTTAAGACTTGAATTCTCTTTCTCAACCACCTCGAGTTTCTGGTGAAGATCAAAACGAATTGATGCAGCAGCATCTGCTTTAGCTGTTTGAAGTTGAGCCTCAAGCTCAGCAACTTTCCCCTCAAGCTCAGATCTTTTGGATTCCCAATCACGAGAATTATTCACAGCAGCTTCAACAATCTTTTGCTCTTGCACTTCTCTAGCTTGTCGAAGCTGCCTCATGCACTCTTTGAGTGCCCCATCAAGATGACTAACTCTGTCTTCAAGAACTGTGTTCTTCTGCCTTGAAGCATCAAGCTGTTGTTTTAAAGATGACACTTCATTTTCAGCCTTCTCCCACCCTAAATAAAATGAAAAATCAATCAAAATCTTTTAGTTAATAAACAGAGTGTTTTTTTGGCAGGAAACAAAAAATTTGGGTTAAACTTCCCAATAGCCCATTAGAGCAGAAGATTATGATAACTGATATCATGACTTTCCAAGGTAAGAAAAATGTACCATGGACAAGCAAATAAAATAAGTTTACTAGACAGTCCTAATATAAGCATAAACCAGGGATCATATGCAGACAAATTTAATTTTAGTTTTAGGCATTCTTCCTTCCAATGCTGCAAAAAAGTAAGCACTTGAATAAATGTAAAACAACAAAGGCAATCACAGCTGCAAAGGATAGATTGCTTTCAGATTCGATAAACGTATCTACCAAACCAGGGAAAATTTACTGGTATACAAGATGGACATTGATGCATAAAGCTTTTGAGAAAGAAACTAATGAGTGTACCATGTGAAGAATTAACGAATTTATTATATTGTTCAAAAAAAATATGTTCCAAATCATCATCTAAAAAAATTTAGAATCTCTTCATAAATTTTCCCTTCTGATCCCAAAAAAGGGTAACTTCTTGGGGTTAACGCACCCCACATTCTTTGTGATAATAAATATTTGAGGTAACACTACTTCAGGGACATGCATGGAAAGGGCCAGACAAGAATTACCTGTGACAGCTTCTTCAGCAACTTTAGCATGTTGCTTTACCAAGTCTTCTTTGGCACTAATATTTAGTAGAGCAGCAGCTAATTTGTCTGTAAGAATCTTCACGTCAGAAACTTCTTTACTTTTCTTGGGTGTACTAATTTCTTCTTCATTTGGTACAGCCTTAGACGTGACTTCTGGTGATAAAGCAGCTTGGGCCGGATATACCTTTTCAACATGGGACAAAAAAATATGATTCATCTTATTACATTTCCAACTTTACAATATGAACGATACAAGTCCATTTAAAAACTTAAATATGTTTTTCATATTGGCTACACATTACAACCATCTGAAGGTACCGTAGGAACATTTAGAGTTATTATTCCAGTCGATTAAACGATTGACTCAACGAAACCTTTGCAATAAGGTCACATTTTCTATTCAAAATCGTACAATTTTATTTTTTTATATTAATCAAGCCTTGAAGTCATATCCCCGCCCCCCTAAATTCTCCATCTCCTTCAACAAAGACTATGATTTTCCACTTCAGAAAATGACCACAACATGGACATTGTATGACGAACAACTATAAGAGCCATCCAAGATTGGATTGTTAAAGATAATATAGGAAGAAAAAGGATCAATTATCAAACAGTGTGACAGAAAACTTAACAAACCGAGCAATCAAAATGGCAAAACATAGTCACTTTAAACACTGTTATTCAGTCTCCAATGCCCACCTGATCATCAGAAAACCTTTCTGAGAGAGATGATATTGAACCAGAACTCTCCGTTTCCCCAGGACTTTTCTCAGATGACTTCCTGCGCCATAGCCAACTCCTTCGGTCCATCTACAGTGACTTCCCTTATTCCCTCACAGGGGTTTCACCTACAACATCATTCATTACACAACACAAAAAACTCACAATTTGATCTGGGAATCTATACTCCAAACAAATCTCAATTGTTATGAGCAAAACCCCCCACAAGAGTGAAACCTGAACCAAGTTTTAAACACAACTGAAGAGGGTGGTTAGTTGTCAGCTTTGCTTAGAATTCACTTCCCATCCCAACCCATCTACCTCCATTTTTAACTTCTAGCGAAGCTTCCCATAAAAGGGTAGTGCTTTAAATGGAAGCTTGAAAGGGATCATTCCCAAACCTCAAAATTTTAAAAATAGTAATAATAATAATAATAATAATAAATAAATAAATAAATATAATGAAGGGTTGCCATAAAAATGAGATTTTTAATGGCTATTACTCTACACTCGAAATTCTAACTACTCTTCTGACAATTTGACACCTACCCGCCATTGAATCCAACATTGAGAATAACAATATGAAGGCATAGCAGAGAGTGAGCCAGTTCAATTATCACTCACGAGATTGCTTAACGATTGAGAGGGACAAGAATGCGATATGGTACCTTCCAGTGTGTGATAAAAACTGAGAAGAGACAAGCTCCGGAGATCGGAGAGGAATGTCAGAGGAATTTTTCAGGGTTGAAGGAACATCATGGGAAGAAGATTCAGAAATATTATCCGACACGTTTCAACGTGACAGAAAACAAATAAATGAAATAATGAAAGAGAGAGAGAGAGGGTGGGGGAGACCATGTGAATGAGGGCAGAGAACAAAATTTAAAAATAAAAATAAAAAATAGAAAAAAGAATAGAAAAGTGCAATGCTAGTTTTATCTTTTTGTTGGGTGTGTTGTGTTGTTTACTTTGCGAAGATCTGGTGGTAATTATTATTGCGTTGAGTCTTGCGTTGCGTGTGTGCGTTTTATGTTTTTTCAAATGAAGAGCGCGTTATTCCCGCTCATTGGTCCTTCAATCTCACTACAATATCTGATTCGATTTATTGTTACTGTGAATGTTTTTGTCCTGTCATACTATGTTAACTGCTGTTCGAAATGACACCAACCATGTCCTTTCTCACCATTTGTTTATATATAAATTTTAAATAATCTTAATTACTACTTTTTATTAAAAATAGTTATATTATTTGAATAATCTAAATATAAGAAAATGTTAATAAAAGATAAATTAGTTAATTTAATAATTGACTTTATAAAAAAACTAATATAGATTATCATTTTTTCACAGATAAACAAAATAAAAGTAGTATATTTGGATTTTTATTTTCTTTATTATTTGTGTTAGCATTGGGTTGTTGATAAAATAGTCTCTTTAATTTTAGAAAATATTTTTATTTCTTTTCTAATTATAAGATTGTTATTTTCTATTTTATTTCTTAATTTTAAATATAATCTTCAAGGTTTATGCTAATTATTAAAGTAAAATATTAAATTTGATTGGAAAACATAAAAAATACTTATTGAACCTTAAGTTTCAATTTTTTTATCTTATTTTTCAGCCTTAATTATCAGTGGAATTGGTTCTGATTAAAGTAAAATAATTTACATGTGAACTGATAAAAGTTTAAGAAACCTATTTGTGTTTATAATTTTAAACTAATTTTATTTTATAATTGAAATTAAATTGTTTTTAAATTTTTAAAATATTACTTTTAAATACAATCTACTTTGTTAATATTGTTTGTTTAAAAGTCAATTATTTGAACATTTATTATTTTAAAGATAACTTTACTGAAACTCAAAAAATACAAATATAATTATACCTCATATGTAACATTTGATTGGCATACATTGTATAATTTATTAATATAACTACCGTCCAAATGCTATAATTCATTTATGTAAATTGTGTATTCTTTTATATTGATTCTGATACATGACTAGACACCTGTTGTCACAAAAATTGTATTTATGTGTTTTTATTTTGAGTGCCTAACTTGTTTGACTTTGGGGTTGTATTGCCCAATCAAGTTATCAATAATATAATCATGTTAATTGTTTGAGTTGCATTAACAATGTTATTTAAATTTATGTTGATATATCATCGAATAGTTTCATCATGTTAATGCGATGTCCAATTCATTATATAAGTTGATAATATTGTTAAAAATAACTAAATATTTTTATAATAATGGTGTATTAGAATTTAATTAATTATAATGTTATTGACATGTTACACAGCACATTATTAAACCTTATTAAATGGAAATATAAATAATTTAAATGGATATTGTATTAGAATTTATCATTGTATAAAAGGATGTAAATATAAAAAATTTAAATTTATAAATATAAACTTGAAAAAGATAAATTTGTACTTTTGATGTTTTGTGTTATTTGGTTTTCATCTCAATGAGATGAAAAACATGTCAATTAATTGACACCACTCAGCATGCTAATAATTATAAACTTTTGTGAAAAAACAGACTGTGTGAAAAATTACTTACAACTAAATATAACATCTGTGCATTAAATGAATTTGTTTAAATATATAAAATTAATTTAAATATACAAATTTTTTATTTTTCAAAAACAACTTTTTAGCATAATACATGTTTTTCATTAATGTTATCAATATGAATTATTATTTTTTTAATAAAATTATGCCTATAATTAAAATCTTAAAATAACAATTATGTTAAGATGGATTATCAAACACTTTAATTTAAAATATATTTTAAACTTAATATGTACACCTTTTCAAATTATTCAATAATATTATAATTCTCAACCTTTTTATAGTGTTTTTTTTAACTCCGCAATATATAATTATCTATAACAAAATAAATGTAATTTTATCAGTTTTTTTAAATCTTGTTTAAAATTATGTACTCATTTTTTCTCTTAAAAATAGTCGTTTAAGGTTGGGTATAACAATAAAAGAATATACTTAGTTATTTTATTTTTATTAAAAGTATTATAAGTTGTTTTATTATACTCATTTAAAAACTTTTTTAATATGATAAATGAATAAATATATAAGATTATTTTTTTAAATAATAATTGTCGTAAGAGTAAAATTGAAAAAATTATACTTAAAATTATATAATAACTATTATTAAAAAATTAAATAAAATTTTACTTCTTAAAATTAAAAATTATTTTATCACAATAATATTTTACAATTATTGACATTTAACATTTTTTACCTGACCCAGCGAGGAAATTTAGTTACTTAATGGTGTATTATTAATGGCCTTGACTGCGAATATCTAGAAACTGTACTTATTAATGGCAAATTGGTTGGTAAATGTGGTACCATTTAACATTATCATGGAAAATTTAAAGTGTTAATTTTAGAATTGAATTTCATGCTTGAAGAGATGTAAAATATTAAAGAAAAATATTAGCTTCCTTAATTTTAAGAGTTGAGATAAATAATTAATAATAGTAAAAAATTATTAAAAGATAATTTATTGTTGTAACTTTAATACAATAAACATGAATGTTTAAATTCAGTTTTAATGGCTGAAGTTAAAAAAAATATTAAATGATATCATTTAGTGTTTGTTGAGTTTTTCTATTTTTTAATATTTAATAATTTTTATATAACATAAAAATATAAAATTAAATGTTTTATAAAAGATATTTTAGTCAAATAATAAATTTTATGGTCAAATTAAAATTTTATTTTACACAAATTTTTTTTTTCCTTCACACATCAAAATTCATAGAAAGACTTTTCACTTTTTTCATATTTTTATTTATGAAAATAATATAAATTTTTACGTTGTATTTATTCTGTTCCTTATTATTATTATTGTTATTTAGTCACTCAATCTAGCTGAGTATGAATGAACTAGTTTTGAACCAGATAAAAAAGTGCAAAAACAAAAAGTTCAGCAATAAAAATGTAATAGATTATAAATACCAAAACATTACAATGCTACAGAAAACCTTGTTGGTAACTTGGTATGCCATATGAATATGAACTTCACAGTTCAATCACTGTAAATCTCATGATGAGATCCACCATACTTTGTGTATCTGCTACTGCTATACGTGTGTGTTCGCTTCCACTGCAAGATTAAGCTATTTGTTTAAGAAATTTTTTTTCTGTACAAAGCCAACAAAAACTGTACTTTATAAACACACAGACAAAATATTATTGCGTAGAAAGATTAAATATTAACTATACAATCGAAACAAATGGTGAATATCAAAATTAACTAAAATATTTTTATTATTTATACGTAATTCTACGTTAAGATTAACTCTTTTCATATCTTATATTTTCACTAAAACGAACAAATAATTTGATAAATATGTATTTAAATTAATGTTTTCAAATATTATTATTTCTTACAACATTATCATTTTTTGTTATCTTTCCTAACTGTTTAAAAAACAACTATACACATAATGTTAGGGAAAATTTCATTTGATTAATGGAGAATATATGTATTTGTTGTTGATGATGTGGTTCTTTTTTGTTTTAGTCAAAATAATCACATGGTTTGACGTGGAGAGAGATGTTTCCCTGTTCCATTATGGCTTGCTTCAACGCAAAGAATAAGGTTACAGTCTCTGTCTGAATGAGCCTTCATTTGATCCCGAAGGGCAAGAACAATACAATTATTTTTCTTTTGAAAAATAGTGTATAGCAATGATGATTAATGATAATGCATGATTCCAGCTACATTAAGGTGGTAAAAAAATATGAAAGATAACACATTTCACAATAACACATACATTCATTATTTAAAATGATTTTGTTGACCATTTAAAAAAAAGAGAGGTGATGTGATACACTGCATCTTCTCGACCAAAAATAAAGATTGAATCTTAAAAATCAAAACGACTGTATGGTATTAGTATATGCCAAAACTTGATTTCTTTGTCAGAATTCAACATATGGGAGGTTTTGGTAGATGCATGCACGAGTTGATGCTCTCTTGTCTGTCTCTTGTTTATTCAGGGTCCTCTGTATATGATGCCTCATTTTTCTGGTTTCCTGATATATATAAATACTATATTATATATACATAAAATATATAATTTTAAACTCTTAAATATCCACAAATATTCAATGATACTCTACCAACATTAATGCCAACAACCCGTATCTGCCTGTACTATTGCCATTCCTCTATAAGTGTCCAACAATAATGGAATAAAATGCTGCTTGTTCTGTTTCCTGATATATTTTTAGATTAACTTAACTTTTTTCTTACTTCGAGTCTTTATTTTTTATTGAGTTTTAGCATTATATTAAAATTTAAATGCATACCCAATTCAAAGACATAAGAAAGAATGAATAGACTTAAAATTAAAATAATTTATTTATCTAAAATATTTTAAATTATTTAAAAAACAAAATTTCTTATTTATATATCTTTTGAAACTTTATTATCTTAACAAATTTGAAAACTTCCACTCAGTTCCGAAGTCAAACCAAAACTAAAAACATTACACGAATAAATAAGTCATATCTAAATAAAAATGCAGGAACTTCAAAATAATAATTGTAGAGGTTGGGCAAAGGGAAGGGTGCATTTGCCCTACACAGTAAGTACCCTTGTTTATAAAGAATTTTCTTTCCATAATGAACATAATCATGGGTGGACAAGGAAAACGAAATACGCACAACTTTTAAAAACATACTATAAATTCAACGCTACATAAAAAAACATAATTATTCACCATATTCAATTGACTTGGTTCAGCAGAACAAAACATTAGCCGTTTTGCGTAGTCTCTGTTTATCCTCAGACAAATAACATCTATAAAAGGGAGTAATCAATCTGATATATTTTGTTTCGAATTTAACATGATTAAGCTCACAAATTAGTCCTTTTATTTTATTTTAAATGTTACGTGATTATATTTGTTAACTAATTTTTAAATTAGTCCTTCTATAAATTTTTTATTTTTTAAATTTATTAAAACAGAATTTGTTAACTAATTACTGTAATAATTATATTATTTTAAGAATTATTCTGATCAATTAATTATTCTAATAAAATTAGTTTATTTATTACATAATTAATAAAATTAATTTTTTTAAATATTTACTTTAATATTAAACAATAGACGGAAATAATATAATTTCTTTCCAAGAATAAAAAATCCTATTTCCTTAAACAACAAACAAAAAGCACCCAAAGTTCGGCAACAAGTGGACGCATAGAAACCACAACTTCAAAATTTGTTCTATTTTTACAACAAAAACAAAATCGAAATCATGTCCATTTCTTTAGATTTATGTGTTTTTTATTTTATAAAAAAGAAAAAGAAGTGAAAGCTGGTGCGAAGTTTGAACGATGGGAAAAAATGATGTATATAAAAAAAAGAAATATAAATATCTTTAACCGAAGGAAGAGGAAAGGTTGCAGAGGCAGAGAGCGAAGAAGGAAGGGTGGTGGAGACGGAGGCCAAGCGGAAGAAGCAGAGGAACCATAACCGAACCGAACCGAACCTCTGTCTCCGAAAATGAGTGGGCAAATAACGAGGAGGAACAGTGCTCCCCACAGAAGGCCTCCGTCTTTGTCCAAGAAATCCGAAAACGGAACGCTTAGCGAGCCTCCCAGCAAGCCTTCTTCTCCGCCTCCTGAAGAGTACCTTCTTCTTCTCTCTAGCACAATTCAAAATTCATGTTTTCGTCTTCTCAAACCATAAACCGATCCGTATAAATCCAATTTAACTGTTTCTATTTGAATTAGATATAATAGATTCCATATGTTTATTCTAGTATAAGAGATTCCTTTCATTATTATTATCATTCGATGTTCTGATTTATATCCGGTTGTTGTTGTTATTGTGGTTAGCTAAGTTGTTTTCATTTATTGATTCTCTGATATGTAATTAGAAAGAAGCGTTCACTTGGATGGATAATAGTTGAATTACAGGTGTTTGATGGATAGGATAGGTGAGGTGGGTGGTTGTATCAGTGTTTTGGTTTAATTGTGCTTATTGATTCAATTATTTAGGCTTGATGGGGGAGAGAGGACCGTGAAGAAGCTTCGGTTATCGAAAGCTCTCACTATATCTGAGGGGACGACGGTTTCTGAAGCATGCCGCAGGATGGCAGCTCGACGTGTTGATGCTGTTTTGCTCACTGATGCTAATGCTTTGCTCTCTGGAATCATGACTGACAAGGTTTCTATATGTATAGATATTTGTGTGTGTGTGTGTGGCATCTCTCTGGAGAGTGTGCATATGAAATGTTTACAAGCTAGCGTGTCTTGTTTTCAGGACATTGCTACTAGAGTTATAGCTGAGGGTTTACGACCAGAGCAGACATTGGTGTCAAAAGTAATGACTCGAAACCCTTTATTTGTGACATCTGACACATTAGCCATTGAAGCTCTTCAGAAGATGGTCCAAGGTCTGCTTCATTTCCACAGTTTTTGTCATTGTTATTAGTAGATTTCAGGCATTGTTAAACGAAGGAGTTCATTTCTCAAGCAAGTGGATAATACCATAACAATTGTTTTCTGCTGATGCCAATTAATTTAATATGTTCTGTGGAACACTTTTGCTATGGCTGTTTCTTATGTAAGAAGAGGTATGGTTAAATGGAGTGAGGATGTACTTGATGTATGTGTTTTTGGATGTCAGTGCTTGTGCTTCATTATGCTAATGAGATTTCTGATATGACACGGCACTGAAGTATAGACTCTAGGATATGGACAAAATTAGATTTATATTGCCTCACTACAGAAATTTTCTTTCATTTTTTACCTCTTTGAACTGCCTTTGTCCTTTGTTTTTGTGTTGTGTTATCTTCCCCCTAACCAAAAAGATGGTGTCTGATTTGCTACAAAACCTTTACCTGATCTAGTATTTATAATTATAAGTTATTTATTTATTTATTCTTTTGGCAATTGGGGACTTGTTATGTTTCTTCTTTGTTATAAGGTTCAGTTTTTCTCCCATTGGCTTTTTTATAATCTTTATCCAGTTGATTCCTGATGGTGCAAGACTTGGGCAAATGTTTCTATTGGATTCTGTGTTTGCATTTGTACTGATTGCACATAGTCTACAAAGTAATCCATTAAGTGAGATATTATTTGTTTTTTCAACTGATAGGGAAATTCAGGCACCTCCCTGTTGTGGAAAATGGTGAAGTCATTGCCATACTGGATATCACCAAATGTCTTTATGATGCCATAACCAGGATGGAGAAGGCTGCTGAGCAGGGGAGTGCCATTGCTGCTGCAGTGGAAGGAGTTGATCGCCATCGGGGTAGCAATGTATCTGGTTGGTTAACAATAAATTTACATCCACGTACAATCATGTCTTTTTAATGTTTATACTATAGCTGCTATTTCTTGTATTCTTAAGTTCTCTGTTTTTTTTTTTTTTTTTTTTTTTTTGTAAATATGAAATCTATCATCTATCATTTGGTATACTCATTAGTTGACTTGACTATCTCTACTAACACAGCTTTAAGGTTTCTTTATATTTGTGACTGAAATTAGCACAAAGGATGTGGTTGGTAACAGAAAGAGATAGGGCGAAGATAATTACCAAACAGTTGGCATGAGTGCTTTAGATTCTTGTTATCATTTCATTTTTTTCCCTTATTAGAAGATATTTTATTTTCCACCCATCCAATTGTGTACTTTCTCTTCTCCTCCCCCCCCCCCCCCCCTTTCAAATAATATATTTCTTTATCAAACTGTGGTTAGTGTGTGGACCTTGTATTTGCTTAAATAATCACTTTTGTGGTTAATCATGCCCTAAGCTGGTAATAATTTTGCTTGGCATTCCTCAACTGTAGTTTGTAATTTTCCAAAAACAAAAAATCTTACACTAGAGGACAGTTTTTTCATTTGGTTGTAATGAACTGAGGAATGTGCTGGATGACATACTTAAGAGGTTAACTTGTAAGGTTTTCTCTGTGAATATTAAGCTAAGTGTAGGCGTTAAATGTGTCTTTTAAAATATAGTTATACTTTGTGTTTCTTATCTTAAAAATTGATATGAATGGTTGCCATATATTTTGAGTTCTCTCGTCAGTCTTTTGTAAATTGATTGCTTCTCCTTTATCAATATTTTAAAGTGTTGGAAATTTGCTGTATTTCTTCATTTCTGCGATGAGGCTAATTTTATGTTTCAATTGCTACCATCTTTATCAGCTAACGCTTTGATAGAAACATTGAGGGAGCGCATGTTCAAGCCCTCCCTGTCAACTCTAATTGGTGAAAATACAAAGTAATTTCCACATTATATTTTCTTGTGTTTGTTTGTTTTACCGCAAGACACTTGTATAATCAGATATAATTGTTTTACAAAGTTCTGTAGCTTTACGTTTCTAGGGTTGCTATTGCATCACCTGCGGATCCTGTCTATGTAGCTACCAAAAAGATGCGGGAGTTGCGTGTTAATTCAGCTGTTATTGTGTCCCTGTCGGGAACCAAGATTCAGGGGATACTAACGTAAGAACTTTTATTCTCTGAGAAAAATCTATGACATGGAATAATGTACATAATTGTATGTTTTCTTAGAAGAACTCCTGTTTTTGGGTACAATATATTGTTCTTTCATAAGAACCTGGTGTTTTATTACATAAAATAGAATAATCCCTAATTAAGAAATCAGAACCATAGATTTAGCATTCTCACACTCACAGAAAGAGATAACAGAGGATAGATCACTGCAGAACTTCAAGGGTATGCAAGCCTCACTACTCAGTTCATGGCTACCTCACTGTAGTCATCCCCTCATTCTTTTATTCTTCATTTTCCGGTTCCCTCATGTCCTTCTGACAATCGCTTTCCTGATTTCTCTCCCAACATATGCTACATGATCTGGAGGTTATGTTGCTGTCCTATGCTGATTTTCCCATCCTGTCCTACTTTCCATGTGATCCACTCCAATCCTCTGTTACCCTTCCATTCCTTCCTAATCTGCTCTTAATCATTGTAAGATGCTTTACATTCTCTATATTTCTCATGCAGTTCGAAGGACATACTTATGCGTGTTGTGGCTCAAAATCTTTCTCCTGAGTTGACTTTAGTAGAAAAGGTTGGTATTTCATTTTCTTGACGTGACATAAGTGGAAAGGGAATTATTGTGAGAAGTCTTTTCTTCTTTGTGGCTCTTGTTTTTGCTAGATATTCAGAACTGATTTGATTCTCTTATTTATTTTTCCCTTTTCACTTAGGTAATGACTCCAAACCCAGATTGTGCATCGCTAGACACTACAATACTAGATGCACTGCATAGGATGCATGATGGAAAGTTCTTACATCTTCCTGTGGTAGACAGAGGTGACCTTTACTTTTCAAGTTTTGTAGGCAGTTTCTTAATTCTTACCTTGGGCTGACTATTATTGATTCTGCAGATGGATATGTTACTGCTTGCATGGATGTTTTGCAGATATCTCATGCTGCAATTTCCATGGTAATTTTCATGTTTCACATACATACGTATAAGTTATAGAGTAGAGGAATCAATTTTTTTTTATAATATAGTCTTGAAAGTGGAAAATGTGGAGGGATCTGGTTAATCTGCTGTGAGGTGGTCATTATGTATAGTTTTGTACATCTGTGCCTCAGCTCCGGTGTATGTCTGGATAATCCCTGGTTCATATGAAAGGATCAAGGGCATCAGTTTTAGTCCCTGAAATATATTTTTCATAACTAATTTTTCTCTGAACTCGCAAAGCATTTCACAATCATTCGCTACTCCCTGGGGATATCTAAGATTTTCTAAACTATCTCAGATTATTATAGTTTTTTTCCCCTTCTTTGTGTAAATGGAAAATGTCCATGTCTACATTCAATTTGGTGAAAGGAATGTTTCCGTTTAGATTTAGTGATAGCAATATTGATATTTTCCATCTTTATTTGAAAGGATTTTATACATATTTAATCACTATTTGATTGTTCTTTCCCTAAACAATTAGAATGTTGTACTCCTATACCTCCCCTTCTTGATTCTCAATCATAATGCTTTTATAACTGGTGGGATGTGGACCTTTAATGACATTGAAGCCTTTTTTCTTGTGTATTAAAAATCATATACCTTGTTATATTAACAATTGATACTGTTGCATGGATACTGGTTTCTGATCACGAAAATGTACTTTCTAGGTTGAGAGTAGCTCTGGAGCTGTTAATGATGTGGCAAATACAATTATGCAAAAATTTTGGGACTCAGCTTTTAATCTAGAGCCACTAGAAGATTCTGATACGCATAGGTACTTTGTTTGTACAAATGTTTTAACATAAGATTTGTTTTGTTCTGATCTGTGAATCAGCATAGACAATGTTTTATTGCAGTGAAGTTTCTGGGTTAATGACATCAGATGGGGCAGATACGTCGAAGTCTGCGTATCAATCTACAGGTTTTGGAAATTCATTTTCATTCAAGTTTGAGGATCTCAATGGCCTTGTGCATCGATTCAACTGTGGTGAGTGACTCCTTGGCAAAGCATTGTTAGGATAAGTGTTTTCCTGGATGTGAGCTGCAAACATAATGTGCATTGATGTCTGGACAATTTTATCCTCTTCCCTGCCCCCTTCGATTCTTTTAAGAACTTACAAGTATATTGTGTTGCTGTTTTTGTAGGTATTGAAAATCTAGATGAGCTAGTTTCTGCAGTAACTCAGAGAGTTGATGTTAATAACAGAGAACGCCTTACGCTTTTGGTGTGTTTTTTATGCTACTTAATATTCTTCTGCCTTTTGAGAGTACATATACCTTTATTATCATACTGACATATTCCTCTACAGTATGAGGACGATGAAGGTGATAAAGTTGTTCTTGCAACTGATAGTGATCTTGTTACTGCTGTCAGCTATGCTAGATCTGCAGGAGTGAAGGTGGAGATATCTGCTTCTACTAGTTTTTTCATTTGATGATTTTAACTTCCATGGGATTATTCATTTTAATTTTCTGCATATACTCTAATATAAAGCATCTTCGTATTTCAGGCTTTGAAGTTACATTTGGACCTTGGCAGTTCAACCAAATCAACAACACCAAAATCTTGTACAGCTACTAGGCAGAAAACTAGTGCTTTGTCTATCCGCTCTGGTATTTTTGCCGGTGCAATTGTTATGACAAGCATTGGTGTGTTGGTCTACTTAAAGCGTGCCAAACAGTGATCTTTTGGCAGTTAGGGGGGGGACAAAAAAGGCCATAATCGCTCTGTATGAGCTCCAGAGCTTCATTGCCAAAATGCCATATATATCAAGAAAATGTTGGGTACTGAGAAAATAGGCGACTGATGTGTAGAAGGTTCTTAATCTCGAGTCTTTTTGTTTTGGGGTTAATTTTATCCCCATGGTCAACCAAGGTGATTAGTTAAGATAACCACATATTTTTGTCTCTGATGTAATTGCAAAGTTACCCTTCTCCTTCCTAGTAAGAATATGTATAGATAATGTCTTGGCATACCATATTCAGAAATGTTAAGACGTTCAGCATTTTTGCTTGAACTGTAGGGTACTTGCAGTGATGTCCCGAAATACATGAAATTTTGCTGCCACCTTACCTGGTTCTTCGATTGTGTTTACACAGTCCGGTTGCGGAGGGTTTTTTGCGACACCCTTTTAACATGAAGCCCTATTTGAAATTTCTTGAATGCTAAATTTATGTCCAGATAGTCCAGGATGTTTTTCAAAAATATTTATTGGAACAGTTTTTTTCCTTTTAATTTTAATCATATAATTATGGTAATCGTGCACCTTTTAGAATTTTATATAAATAATCTTGGACACCACAATAAATTGATTAAATAAATGAACAATAAATAGATAAGAAATTTGAAGCTAACAAGGGTTAATCTCATTATTTTAGTCATTTTTCCTGGTTTTTTTCATTCTTCACTCGGGCCTTGGGTCTGGAGGTCAAACCCTCTATAAGACGATAGTTGCATATTTCACTGTCGTGGGAGCGCGGATTTTGTATGGTGATAGTTATGTGAATGTCACCCTAAACTGGCTACGATATATGTACATGTGTGTGTGATTTGTTTTCTAAGGACTTAAGGTTTATAAAATATATTAGAAAAGGCGACGAAAATTTTATATACTTTTGCCATTTTCGAATTAAACAAACGTATTATTTTGAGAGTAAATAGTAATGACGTTCCAAACATAAAGATGGACTGTAATTTCATTATGTAAAGCTAAAGAAATAATCGTAACAAAAAATATAAAAAACAAGTAACAGTATAATAAATCTTTGGACTATTAACTGACATTACTCACAAAAACAAATATATATACTGACATAACTCTTTTACTTAATTTGAATCTTTTATTTAATTTAAATTTAATGAGTTATAATTTATTATTTTATTAGATGTTAGATTTAAATTAAATAAAAAAATTTGTAAAAAAAATACTTCATATATATATATATGAAATGATTATATTTTGGTTTGCTTCTAATGTTACCGTTACAAGGCGATAGCGGGGCCATGCCATCTGTCTCTGAAGCTCTTCTTCTTGTTCCGTTATAAACCGATTCTCTGTTTTTGTCTCTGTAGTTGACACACACAGTGATGGCGTATGGTGAGATGGTGGAGGGATCATACGAATGTCAACAACTTCACCTCTCTTCCTTTATCAGAGACGTAAACTACAGGTGACAGACATAATTTTCACTCTTATCTCTCACGTTCTTCACATTTTGTGCTTTCAAATTCAAATGCAAACTAAACTTTGATGCGTTTGTTGTATTCCATGTGATGTAGCTGTGGTTCGTGCGGTTATGAGCTGAACTTGAACTCCAGCAACCGCAACACTTCCCTCATTGATTCCAAATACGGAAAGTCCATAAAGAGAGGTATAATCTCATTCTTCTCCGTGGATGAGAGTAGGTTTACTCAGATTCAACAATTTCATTGGTCATCGTGGTCATGGATACCCTTTTTCAATTCCAAGCGCCAAAGAACCAAGCTTCTTTGCCGCAGCTGTGGCAACCACCTTGGCTATGCTTCCACCTTGCCCTCTCACTCTTGGGATGGCATCTCTGATTCCAGAATCTATCATATCAAATTAACCGCTTTGCTACCGTCCTTCCATGATGAACCTTCTCCAATGTCAGAGGATGTAGATTTGTACCAGCGTGCTTCTTCCACTTTGGTGTTCTAATTCTAATATGGACTAGAATATCAACAGGGACATGTACACTGCTGCTTAGTAATTTCTTCTTTGATTTATAAGTATAGGGTTGGTGTTGAATGAATGTGAATTCATGTATTCTACTTTAGAATATTGTAAGGGTATTTTCAATCAATAATTCTTTTGTTTATTATGTTATATTTAGTTGATCATGTAACTTGTGTATTCTGTTTAGCTTTTTTGTGTAAATGATCGATGTAGTCATCAAATAGCATTAGTGACGATCTTTTGCCTTTACCTTTTTGCTAATGAATGCTACAATCTTCATTTCCCGTTAATTTCTCTGAAGATATAACTCATGTTCTGATTTGTACTCATTTTTAACCAATTTGATTTTTAACCAAACCCTAAACAAAATAACAGCAGAATACATATACTTCAAATTTTCTTTTCGCTAAATAAAACCTCTGCCTATAATCGTTTTAATGAAGGCACCAAGCCACCAAAGGAAGAAAGATTTCATTATCTGTCACTAAAGATTTAGTTTCCCAGTGGAATGTTGCCATTTACAATTGAAGCCAATTTGGACAGAGAGACAGAAAAAAGAAGCCAAGAATCATATGTTACTGTAAGAACAAAATTATATTTGAACCAATATATGCATATAATATATACTTTCTGTTTTTACTCAACCCAATTTATGTCCAACTGTTTTAGTTCTGTATGCCATTTTTGTGTATCTTGATGGTGTCTAGATGGTGTCTTGATCTCACTATCTACATCATCTACATCATGTGATGCTATCTGATCAACTTTCTTATCCTTCTTGGCAAGGTTTCGTTGTCTGCTTCGTTGTCTCCTCACCTTGAGGGACAGAAGGCGAGAAACTTGATGAAGTCCACCCCACTTTTCCAGTGCACGTGCTATGTCAAAGCGTCCTGTGGGAAAATTGCATTGTGTGCCAAGTTCAAAATGAAAATGGGAAGAAGTTGCTGACATGTAATGTTACGTGTTTCATTCATCTTTCTTTGTTAGACCTTTAAGTTAGAAAAGCTGTTTATTATTGGAAGCAATAGAATAAAAGTTGAGAAGGAGAATATCTCAACCTACCTGCACGTTCAAATGACTTTCTGCTGGGCATAAATGAAGGGTCCATTCCCCAGCTCCTTTGAAATCTACTTATCTGCATGAAGAAATGGATTATATTCTGATTGAAGATGTAAACAATGTTGTGCATGTTTTTTTATCATGAAATAAGCTTTTTCATGCATGCATTATAAATAAAGCGTTCATCATGTCACAATCATTTAACATTTTAGCTTGTCATTCTGGTTAAGTGGTAACTAGAATGGAACTTTTGTAGCCTACCTCATCCTGCAAATTTTCAAGATTGTCCCAGTAACCCTTTGGTTTGCGGTGTTTGTAAGCCAGAGAGAGGTTCATTATAGTAGCAATCTTTCTGAATCCACCCATGCGAGTTATAGCCTTCTCAATATCCACTCTTCCAAGCAAACGAAGTTGCTTCCTCATTGGCATAAATCCTTCCTGTCCGTGTTCCGCAACGAATTTCTGGAGTTCAGATTTTAGGACTTCAATATCCCTCTGCAAGCCTGGAACTTTTGGTCTTTGTTGTGATAAGCTTTGTGCATTACAATCAGAGAAGTCATCAGCTGAACTATAGCTGTCATAATCTCCAACGGCAGATGGAACAATTTGTTGCCCCGAACTTGTATTCTTCTCAGATGCTTCCAAAATATTTGATGCTGTCTTGCTTTCAACATAGTCTCTTATAGCGCACAAATTTGATGGGAGATCTTCATAAATGACCTGAAATATTAAAAGAAATAAAATTTCAGGCATTCAAATACTCAAGAGTATGAGTGTGTGTTGTGTGCGCGCTGTTTGGAGTGACAGACAACAAGTGGATCAAATTATCTTCAAAAGATTGTATTTAATACAAAGATAAAATGTTCTTTTTTATAGAAAAAAAGAGACATGGATAAATGAATGTATCTTGGTTCCACTTATATAGGCCAAACATACTGAGTAATTGTCTATTTTAGATAACTAAGCTCCTTTCCATTTTCTATCAAAAGTTTATCTTATCTTAGGTAGCTTAAAGTGAACAGTAGCATGTTGAAATTTTGAAAATTATCAAGGTGAATATTAAAACAAATATGAAACTGATATAGATCAACCAAATCAAATTCATAGACAAACCTCTTCCATGATAGCTTCAGAAAGGAAAGTATCTTTGCACATTTTTGACTCCACAGAGTACTTTAGCCGTGTGTGATGATTTCCTAGTTGCTCGAAAGTCCATTTTCCCTGAAATGAGTCAAAGTCCCCTTCAACCTGTTCAAAACTGATCTCCTGTTCTATATATTCACACAAGTCTAGGACAACACGAGCATGAAGTACCATATAAAGCAGGCCCTTACATCCTTCCTGCATATGGATTTAAACTAGGAAGTTAAACATCATTCGCATAATTTATGGATAAAACTGTATCACATAATTTACTGACCAGCAAATAAATTAGGATATTAACAGCAATTATTCTTTTAACTGACATTGCACCGCACCTGAAGAATGCGGACTTTATTGTTATCTCTTGATAAAATCTTGCTGATTGCTAAATTTGGAACTACCCTGCAAGAAATGGTTTATTGATTTATTTTAAGTCAGGAAAATGAAACCTAAGATATAGAAATCTTTCACCGCACGTTTTTCAAGAAATCTAGTCCAAAGAAGAAGCACGTATTACGTACTCAGGAAGAGTCTCATAGGAAGACAGAACATTCCAAACATCACGAATGGGAGCTTTAACTGTTATGCTTGCAGAAACACAGCGATGAACACCACCATTTTCCTTCATATGAAAATCATTTAATAGGTAACTTTGATCACAAATTTAGCTCATTCTCAGAATTAAGGCCACCGCATAACTATTTAGTATGGATAAGTTACCAAAAGTTCATCAAATCTACGGAGATGAACTTCATCCACCACACAAGGCCTGTCAAGTCTGCAAACTTTTCCAAATACACCCCAGTTGTTGATGTTCACCTCACTGGAAGATGTGGACAAGGAACCAGAAATTGAGCTGGCCAAACCTTCCATGTTTTCTCGAGGAAGCAATTTATCACTTCCACCCAAAACATCATTCATCTTACTGGCAGATGACTCACTAATAGCACTAGAAGTTTTATGCAATTGATTTTCTGGCAGGGGAAATTTCTTATTTTCTGAAATATTCCTTTCAACTCTGTAAGCCAAAGCTCGGAGGTTTACAGGAAGATCTGACCTGATAATCCTTTCTATGAAAATAGCTGGGAAATTGAATCTTGGTATCACATTAACTTCATAAGATAAATTAGTTGATGATGACCTGCAATAAACAGAATTCAAGGATAAACTATAGAACTTCTTAGTCAATGGCAAATGAAGCTTTGTTATCTTTATGTGTTTAGTGACTAAACAAATATGGATAGAAAAGCTTCATTGTCTTATTGAATGCATAATGCATTAATACAAATGAAGGCCTTACTATCTATGGTTAAGATAGTTTTTTCTTTTTTCATTCTCTCATACAATTGTATTTTGACCAATACAATTCAGCACACATTAATATGAAGCTATTGAACTGAATTATACATGAACTTCGTTGTATCTCAAAGGAAGCCCAGCAGGTTTTTATATGAGAACATAAAGATGTCTCCATATAAAAGCCAAAAATGAAGCCTCTTCAGTCATCAGAACTTCATCCATGATTCCAAGCTTCTGTGTGCTTGTTTTAGATTAGCGTGACGTACTATAGATAAACACAATGGTTTTGCATTGAAGCAAACTTAGGGTGTCCAATGAGTTCAGAAGTAATATCAAAATATATTCTCTTTATATTATGCAACGCTGCTTAGGTTTTACCTTGTTCCAGATTTTACGGACCATTTGCCCTCAAACTTCTTAAAGTCTCCATCAACCATGGAAAAGTGAAGTTCTCGATCCCATGCCTGAAGCATTAAAAAGAATATGTATAAAAAATGCAAAGCATGCCCTCTGTGTATGGCAAGAAAGTTTCCTATCAATCAAGCAATGCCTATAATGCAATTGGCCTATGTGCCTGCCAAGGATGCGGAGACACTTAGACACTTGAATGAACACTTCACATACTTCTAGCTTTCTCATACAATTTATTTATATATTGAATCTGAATACCAATACAAAAAATAATAAATTATCATAACATATAAATAAACAACAGTATTTTATTTTATCTACATCAACTTATCATGTCATTAAAAAAATGATTATCTTTTTATTTAAGATTTATGCTTTTGCATTTTGTTTTTCTAATTTTATATGTTAAACCATGACTGTTTTTTCAGTTTTCTGTCTTATAATTTCTGAAATTTCACGCATCCTGGTATTATGTTCCAGATTTGTATTTCTCAACAACTTAAGTCTCTTCCTCAACCAATTATTTTGCAAGAAAACCAATTGTTTCACACTAGAATTGGGTAATGTAGATTTAGTATTCTATTTTAGTATTAAATTATCTCTTTCGTATCATCAAGTTACAAATTGTAATTGAAAACCATTGTATGAATTGTTTCAATTATACAGTCTTTCTGAGAATTTGAACTGAATGAGTTTTGATGGAGAGATGATTCATCATATTTAGTTGCTCCAGGTCTTGTTGACACATAGTAGCAGTGCAGCAACCTTTTTATGTCTCAATATTTTGAATCCTAAAAGTTAACTCCCTTAACCTTTTCTTGTGGCAAGAATACCCGTGCAACTCTGGTATCTATCTATCCAGTTCAATGCTAATATGCAGTAGCTGAATCACAGAATAATAATAATAATAATAATAAATATCAAGTGTTTATAAATGCTTACAGAATAGATGGATTCTTGAAGATCCAACACAACACGAGCTTCTATGTGCCAATACATTGACCTTTGAAATCCTCTTTGCTCTAACCATATCCGCCCGGGATATGGGCAAGGAATTCTCCCACTAACAACAAAATAATTCTCATAATCTCTTATTGTAAAAACACGCTTTTTCATTTAAAAAAAAACTTAAATATATAAATCAAATTTTTTTAATTTTAAAAATATATAATATTTAATATTATTAATACATTATATTTTGTAACATTTTACTGTTTCAATTGGTGTAGATAGAAAAACGTTAAAAAAAAAACATATATAAACTTTCATACATTATTAAACATAATAGTTAAATTAATACTTACCTCCACACAAGGTTTGGTATGAAATCAGCGAGATGCTCATAATCAGTGAGAGCGTTCCAAACGGAATGAATGTCAGCATTGATTGGAATTTGGGCCTTCACTCTCCTTTCCCTCCAAGAAACCACTTGCACCTCACACTGCACCTCACAAGGTTCTTCTTCTTCTTCTTCTTCTATCCCATTATTATTACCATTGCCACAATGGATTCTGGGTTTGAACTGGGTTGAGGAAACTGCAATGGGCTTGTGAAGAGAGTGGGAGGGGAAGAAGAGACTCACAGATAGAAATGGTGGTGTGGATAGGAAGGGTAGAGAAAGAGGGTGAAGTGCAGTTCCTGCAAGGTTTGTGCATGAAGAGGTAGTGCATGTGATAGTGATCATGTCATGAACTCGTGAAGGAAAGAGTGAGTGGCTCGGAGAAGGTGAATTCATGTCATGCCATTGCTGCATTGCATGGTGGCCACCAGTTTTTGCTTGTGTCTTTTTCTGCTGCTTTTTGCACTTTCCACTTTTCTTATTAATTGGTGGTTCCAACTCAAGACACGTAGCCCAGTTTGCTTTGCGCTTTTCATTGTATCCAATCCACAATTTTCTGAATTTTTATGGCTAAATAATATATTACATTTAGAGTGAGATGCTTTTTTTTTTTAATTGTTTTGGAGATATGTGTATGAGAAATAAAAATAATTGTGTGTATGTTAGGTACATAGGTAAAAAAATAATTAACCTTTTATTTTACTGTGAAGTTTGCTTAATTATCGTTGATTCTAAAATCTGAATTCGTAATTTATGTGTCCAAATTTCTCTTAATAGAAATAGTTAAAAAATTTATTTGCAAATTTTATCTCTTATTTTGTTGCTTGATTAGTGACCCTTATTTTTTACTCCTCTCTTAATTAGTTGATTGAAATTATTCTATCTTTTTTCCATTGAAATTTAATATTGCCATATGTAAAAATTTTCAAACATTTTCTTTGCTTTGGCCTCAAGTTTTTATTTTCACCGTTGAAATTATGATATTTTTCTTCAAAAACAATATTATATATATTTTTGTCATATTATCACATTTCACTCTTTTATTCCTTTTTTATAGAACCGTCTCTAAACAGAACACACTTATAAATGTGAAAATACTCTTACTTTTATCAAACACTAAAGAATAGATTTAACTAACTCATACTCTTATTTATTTTGACTTTCACAGCTAGTGGGTAAGAAATACACATATTAATTGACTTGTCTAAAAGCAACAAGTCATTATTCGTGTGTATGACAAAGGCAAAAATTAAAATAAAACTAATAATTTGTTTTCTAGTAAAAGAAAGAAATATAATATATGTAATTATATATCTATTTTACTAATAAGATATATATATATATATATATATATATATATATATATATATAATTCAATCACATTTCATTTCTCTGTCGTTAATTATTTATGTTCACAATTCATATTTGAAAGTAACGAGTTATATAATTATTTTTATATCAACTATTCATCTATCTTCTATTTTTATAAACTCTCTAGACTCTTCAAATATAATATATATTCATGCATGTAAAGATGGTAATGAAAAAGTTAGTAAAATCCGATAGATACATTGGTGTTGCTAATTCCAACACATTTTTATTTTATTTTATTACTGAACATGTAAATTAATTAATATTGAATTTTTATTAAATATTTTAAAAAGAATTTTACCAGTAACTTTACTTGATTTAGACAAAAAATATATATTTTATTCTTATTTTATACGAATAATATTTTATGTATTAAATATGGATGCCAATTTTCTTATAGAAAGTTCTAGCAATATATTACTTTAAATATCATTTTAAAATATTTTTCAAGTGTATTAATCTATTTTTTTGACAATCAAATACTTATTTTGTAAATTGACCACTTTTTTAATATTTATTTTAAATTTTAAAAAGTATATCATTAGATATTATTTTGATATATATATATTTTGCTAATAAATAAACCTAAAAAAGCTCAAAGAGAAACAAAAAAACTAACAGTCACCTCTAAAGTATCCAGTACCTAATGTATTTAGAGTTAAAAGAAGAAATAAAATAGAAAGAGCTTTATCAAAACACTAAAAAAGTATTCCACAGTCTGCCCCAAACTTGACAAGCCAATTTGCATATTGATTAACTTCTTTAAGAACATGAATAAATCTAATAAATTGAATTCTCAATAACAGATTCCTAATCTCACTAATAATAAGGAACAAATGATGATTATAGTTAAAACCTTTAACAATTAGGGCAATAACCTTTTTAGAATCGCATTCGATCCAATTAAGTTGAAACCCTTTCATAATCACTAACTTCAGCTCTCTAATAGACTCTCCACAACTCAGCAGCTAAGAGAGAGCAAGTATACAGAGCACTGCAGAACTAAGTTATAAGTCTTTCCTTCATGTCTCAAATGAAGCCCTCACAGCTGACAAACCTAAAAAAGTTAGATGTGATTCCATCCATATTAAGTTTAAATTGCTGCTCAAGAGGAGGCTACCGTTTGATATATTTTTTTTACATAAAAAATATTTGTTGATGACTGTTACCACATCTACATTAAAAGTGATGAAATTAAATACTACATCAATTTGGCTTTTTTTCCCTTTTTTATTTTTCTTTTAAATAAGAATTTATTGTTGCATAGAAAAATGTCGGTGTTATTGCTAATAAAAAATTTTAAAGTTATAACATGTAAATGTATTACATGTCTTATGGGTTACAACTTTTTCTTATTTTTTATTATAAAACTAGTAAATGTATTCACATGTTACACTGACCTGTAGAGTATATTTGTATTAACTATTTAATTTAAAAATAATTATAATTTAAATATAAAAATAATTATTTATCAAATAATCGTAAAAAATAAAAAATATATAGAAAATATTTAAATATGAAAAAAAAGTTTAAAACTAGTAAATGTATTAATTAATTATTTAAATAAAATATATTAAAATAAATAAATTTGATAATTTTGTTGTAATAATTTTATTTGTTATTAAATATTATAATGATGATTATAAATTCAAAATTTTTAAATTAAAAGTAATTAATTATAATAATTAAAATAAATTAAACATCATTAAATATTGTAATAATGATAATTTATTAAAAAATTAAATATAATTAATTATTAAAATCTTACTATAATTGTATGATTTGCATATTTAATATTTTTATATCATGACAAATGAATAAGTAAATAAAATATAATGTTTTAAATTTAAATTAAGTTTGATTGTTACATTTAATTTTTATGTGTTATTTATTTTTAAACTTAATAAGATTTTTCTTATCCTTTTAAACTTTTTTTTTTCACATTTAAATATTTTCTATATGTTTTTTTATTTTTATGATTATTTGATAAATAATTATTTTTAAATTAAATTAGTTAATACGAATATACTCCTACAGATCAGTGTAACATGTGAATACATTTACTAGTTTTATAATAAAAATAAGAAAATGCTGTAACCGATAAGAAATGAGAGCGTATTTTACTTTCTTAAAAAAAATATATAATGCCAAGTGTTATAGGTGCTTACAGAATTTAAGAATCCTTGAAGATCATTTAACACAATCTTTAAAATATTGAGAAAACGGCCAACACCATTTTGAGTTACGTTTACTATCGATATTTATATTTATTATAATACATTCAATATAATTTTTTTAATCTGTACAATCTAATAAAAAAATTATACATAATAAATTTTTATTATTATTTATAGTATTTAATAATATTAATATATAAAGTTACATTAAATGTGTAATTTTTAAAAAATATTATATATAATTTTTCATCTTGTACAAATGTTTAACAAAATCTTAAAAAATTATAAAACAACAAACATATTTATTATAAAATATTAAAATAAGTCAACAGCAATCCAATTTAACAAGAAAGAAAGTTGTAAAAGCTACAGTTTCTTTGACCATTCCCCTTGCAAATTCAAAAGCTTGATGAAATAGGGGTAATTAAGTTGGTGAATAAGTAAAAATTACAGTTACACGTAATTAATTAAGGCTTTGGTGGTGTGGTGTCTCTATAAGTAGCAATTGTACAGAGCAGGAATATGACAGTATAGGAGGTGAAAACTTGAGATTGAGTTGGGTTTATCATTTATCTCACAAACATGTTGAAGGGTTTGGCCACAGTTGTTGTATTGTTGATGATTATTGCAACAGACACTGTGCAAGTGCAAGGTTTTCCCAGTGGGAAGAAAACTGTGCGTGTTCAAAATGATTTGGATGGTGGTACTCTTCTTTATCTCCATTGTCGATCCAAGGACAATGATCTTGGCTTGCATGTTCTTGCCACTCAAACCTATCAAGAATGGTCCTTCCATGATAACGTTAGTGGTACTACTCTCTTTTGGTGCAAATTCCAATTTGATGGCGTCGCCGAAGTTAGCTTTGAAATTTACAGTGCCAAAACCGATGATTCACAGTGTGGATCCCAATGCTGGCGAAGTATTAGAAAAGATGGAGCCTATTTTTATGATGAGTACAAAAAGATTTGGGTCCGAAGATACTCATGGTAAATTAATTGTATCGAATGAACAATCATTTCCCTGCGAAGGATGAATCATAATACATGTAATTTCATCTATCTATTCTACTAATAAAGCATATTTTCCTTTATTTGATCGCGTTCCATTTTCCCATCGTGAATTGTTTATATTCTGCAATTCATATTTTACAATAATGAGTTTTATAATTATGTTTTCTCACCAACTATTTCTCTATCTCTTAAACTTTCATTAAGCTGTCTGCATTGCTTGTAGATGGAAATGGGAAGATCTTATTCAAGAAATAACCTGCTGAGATGGCCTTGAGTTGCTTATTCAATTTCTTTTTGTTATTTCATATGATAACATTTTGTGTATCAAAATGTGGATAACAATTATTCTATTGAAAATTAAAGGATACAAAGGTATCGATGGATATTGGTTAAATTATCCTAAAACAAGGTTTTGAATTAAATTTCTGTTAAGAGAAGTGTAAAACTAATCCTACCATACTATAAATATTTTATGTTAAAACATAATTGTCTTTTTTTTTTTTTTTAAATATTCGTGGTTCAAAGTAATGAAAACAAAAGCAAGGTTCAAAAAAAAAAAAAATTGACGTATGAAAGTTTCTTAGTAAATTAAGTATATATTTTTAAATATTAACTAAAAAATTATAAAAATATAAGGACCAAAATTTAAAAATAATTTTATGAAATTGAAATAAAAAATTTATTAAAAAAGGATTAAAATATTTAAGTTTACTACTGAGCAAGTAGAGATTATTTCGTGGTTTCAAATTTAAATTTAATTAATTATGTTTCGTTATTTAATTATTTCTCTTATTAATTGTTCGAAATATTGCTATTTTTAACTCATTTTTATCGGTTAAGTAAATAAATGACTTTAAAGTATCATGAATAACATTAAATGTTAGTTTTATTTTGAAAATAGTTTTTCCAATTATATAATATTATCATAAGAGTATGGTTAAATAATATTAATTAAATATTTTTAGTTACTTGAAAATAATGTTTTCATTTATTCTCCAAGAAAAAACTGAGCTTACTTAAATTAAAAAAATAAAAAATCATTCAATTTAATCTAAAATACTTTTAATTAAATAAAATTTACAGTTTACTTAAATCAAAATACAATATATTTTTATAATAAGATAAATTGAGCTTTTACTTAATAGCAAAAAAAAAAAAAAAAAAGGAGAGCTTGTACTTAAAAGTTGATTAATTCAATTTGAAAATATTATTTCTTGTTAATGGAAACCAAGCATACTTGCTTGTGTAAGGAGTTTTATACAATTTTGATATAATAAAGATATTATTGTTGTAATTAAATAAATTTACTTTTATATGCTCAATGGTCTTGAGATAATGATTAATAAAACTCTTTTTTAGTATTATTTTTCAAAGAATTATGATAAATCAGTGATAAATAGTTGAGTGAAATATTATTGAATTAATAAATACGTTTTAACTTTTTGTTTCGATTAGTGTAAAATTATGAATTATAAAATAACTGATAGAACTTTTTATAAACAAAATAAGATAAAACGAGAAAAATGCATTTTATTATGATTAAAATGGTCCAATCCTATAATTTTAATAAATAAGAAAATTTAGGGGGGAGATAAATAATTATTAGCAATTAGCCTTGGAATATACAGATGTTATAAAATTAACTAAAAATATTCGCGTAAAAGCCTCTAATGACTCAACAATCCTGTATAAATATATATACTAATAAATAAATATAAATAGAAAGAATGAAACATTAAATTAAATGTTACTGTCTATTGAGAAACTACATGAACTTCGTTGTAGCTGTTTTTAACGCATTTTTCTTTGAACATTTATTGTAATACATTTAATAAGAAAATAAAATTCATTTTTCTTGCTCTGTCTTAATTATATTTTACATCTTGAAAAAATTATATATTTTTTTCTTAAAAAACAGATGAAAAAAAAAACAAAAATTGGAGTATAGAGAGTAATAAATTATGTTCGTATTTTTCTTGCACCGTCTCAGTAAAGTATATTGGCAGTAAGGATAAGGACTAGACAGACATATCCGCTATTTAAGGATGAGTATAAATATGTGTCCATTGTTTTCTTGCTTTTATCTACAAATGAATCCGGGTCCAAGATAGATGTGATGCAGAGGATCCGGACTCATTTTTGTCACACTCCATCAATAACATTAAGTATTCTACGTAGGACTTTTTGTTTTTGGTGTCTTTTTAAGTGGCGATTGTACAGAGAAGTGGGGCACATTGAGAGGTGAAAATAGATGATGAATTTGGTGTACTGTTATCCTACAAACATGTTGAAGGGCTTGGCAACATTTGGTGTATTAGTGATGATTATTGCATCAAATACACTCATAGTCCTTGTACATGGTCAAAATGCGTTTGCTCAGAAGAACACCGTGCGCGTTCAAAATGATTTGGGTAGCGGCATCGTTCTCTATCTCCACTGTAAATCCAAGGACGATGATCTTGGTCTGCATGTTCTTCCCTACAGAAACTACCAAGAATGGTCCTTCCGAGATAACTTTGGTGGCACTACTCTCTTTTGGTGCTCCATGCAATGGAACTACGAGCAACACAGCTTCGAAATTTATAGTGCAGTTAGGGATAATTTGTATTGTGCTTCCAAATGCTGGAGAAGTATTAGATCCGATGGAGCCTATTTTTATATACAAGTCCATGACTTATGGCTGAAGAGGTACTCCTGGTAAATGGTAATCGACATTTATCAATAAAGCATATTTCCTTTCTTTGATCACGTTTTTACTTTTCCATTGTCATTTGTTTATGTTTGCAACTCACTTTGATATTATTAAATATTTTTAGGAATGTCACTCAATAATGATTGATTATGTTTTGACACGTTGTTTGGTCCAAATATTATTTTTTAAGAATATTAATGATTCTTTTTTAAAAAATTCTTTTAGTCATTATGATAATTGATAAATATTATTTATATTATTAACTAAATTTATTCTTATTTAAAAAATAAATTAAAATGTAAAATGAATTAATTATATAGATATTTATAATATACAAATATGTGATAAATGCTTTTTTTAAAAGAAATTTATCTACTTAGTTAAATAAAAAAACAAAACAATTAATTTCGTGAAAGACTAAAATCAAAATTTTTAAAAAACGTAGCCTCTACTTTTTCAAGACTTTTCAGTTTCGATCCTTTAAATGGTGAGTCCAATTTTTTAATTTTTTTTTTTATGAATGACAACTTTGTAATTAATCATGTCATTATTTAATAACTAGCTACTTAGCAACATCTGCAATGTATAATTATATATGCATGTATAATAAACTTATTTTTTTAAAAAATTATTTTAACTTAATTTGTAACTACGAAATATAAAGTAATACTTTTTTTTATAAATATAAATATTAAAAAAAACTTCAAAATTCATATAAAATAATAAAAAATGAAGTAATAATTTTTATTTTTAAAATTTAAAATAAAATTAATATAAAAAATAAAGAAAAATTAAAAGAGTTGCTTATTCAATTTCTTTTTGTTATTTCCTATAGTAACATTTTGTGTATCAAAATGTGGATAACAAATATTCTATTGAAAATTAAAGGATACAAAGGTACCTAAAACAAGGTTTGAGTTACATTTCTGTTAAGAGAAGTAGAAAACTAATCCTACCATACTATAAATATTTTATATTAAAACATAATTGTCTTTTTTTAAAAATATTCGTGGTTCAAAGTAATGAAAATATAAGCAAGGTTTATATATAAAAAAAATAGTGTATGACAGTGTCGTAGTAAATTAAATATATATATTTTAAATATTAACTAAAAAATTATAAAATATAAGGACCAAAATTTAAAAAATAATTTTATGAAATCGAATAAAACATTTATTAAAAGAGGATTAAAATATTTAAGTTTACTATTGAGCACATAGAGATTATTTTGTGGTTTCAAATTCAAATTTAATTAATTATGTTTCATTATTTAATTATTTTTCTTATTAATTATTTGAAATATTTCTATTTTTAACTCATTTTTATCGGTTAAGTAAATAAATGTCTTTAAAGCATTAATAAAAAATATTTTTTTATTAAAAATAACAATATATGAATAACATTAAATGTTAGTGTTATTTTTAAAATAATTTTGCCAATTATATAATATTATCGTAAGAGTATGGTTAAAGAATATTGATTAAATATATTTTATTAAATATTTTTAGTTACTTGAAAATAATGTTTTCATTTGTTCCCGAAGAAAAAACTGAGCTTATTTAAATTAAAAAATAAAAAATAAAAATCATTCAATTTAATCTAAACTACTTTTAACTAAATCAAATTAAAGTTTACTTAAATCAAAATACAATATATTTTTATAATAAGATAAATTGAGCTTTTACTTAATAGAGAAAAAAAAGAGCTTTTACTTAAAAATTGATTAATTCAATTTGCAAATATTATTTCTTGTTAATGGAAACAAAGCATACTTGCTTGTGTAAGGACTTTTATACAATTTTGATAAAATAAAGATATTCTTATTGTAATTAAATAAATTTACTTTTATATCTTCAATGGTCTTGTGATAATGATTATGTATTGAATAAAGAATTGTTCGGACCTACATATAGGAAAAGGAAACCGAGTACCTATTCGGTCTAGTTTGGCCGAATATCTTTTGTCAGGATTAAAAGGTAATTAATCTAATTAAGGGTAATAATCAAAGTATTATCTACTTTAAGTAAATGGCCAAAATCAAGGCTAGCTCAGCAGACCCATTATCCCATAATAATGCCTATAAAAGGAAGGTAGAAAGTACAGGTAAAATGTTGACTTTTTATTATTAAATAACATTTATTGCTCAAAACCGATCATAATACTCCATAGGGCAGTGCAGGATCCTTAGCCATGCTGCTACAGTATTGATGCTTGTAGGCTTTGGATCAAAGTCTGGTTCCGACTTTAGCATCAGAGTGCCTTTTGTAGGTACCCTCCCCACGTCAACA